ATATATATATATATATATATATATATATACAGAGCTAAGGTGTTGAGTGCCGGTACATAACACCTCTGTCCTTTTTGATGTGAATCATTAAACATTGAAAAAAGTGCCCTTTATGATTTTCGTCTGAGATGTAAGCATGGCATGGTACATCGCAACTTTACATTGCGGATTGTAGGATATTAATCTTACTTGGTGAAGTATCAAGCTCGTCTGATTTTTTAGGGACTGTGTCTTGACAATTTTAACGTGGGCTAAAGCGAATTCACCAGATTTGTTTTTTTGACTTCGTGAAGTTTAGCATTAAGATACAAAAATAGTGGACTTTTCCGTAGCAATTATGCTATGTCAAGGCTATGTGTTTGCATGCATAGGGCTGTACCATGCCGAATTCTTAACCAGAGTAACTCAAATAAGAGCTGAGATGCGGATATTTTCGTTTGGCAGCAGGTTTAAATACGTTGGGAGGCAAAAAGTGCGTACGTGACTGCCGACCCACTCCTGGAGGCGGAAAGCGTTTGCATTCTTGGTTTGGCCTTATGACGATTGCTATCGCATTTAAAACCTATTTCTGGTGACATTAGTTTATCAAAAGAACTGAACCGAAGTGTGTGTTCAAAGACCCTCGAGATTGCTAAGGACTATCTGCAAAAAGCGAGCCTTATAGAACTAAAGCGAGTGGATTTCGGTGCATTGAGACAATTCTCGCTATTTATATACCACAAAGCAGCGCCTTAAATAGCCCTCCAAAACATAATAAGGAGGGATATTTGGTTTATTGGCAGTGTAATGTTAGAAATAGTGCGATGACTTTGCGCTGTTGCGGGATTTTTTATTCAGAAGGAAAGTGTGTGCAGTTGGTGTGGCTGAAAGACGTCGGATCCACTGCATGCAAAATTGGTCGGTCTTGAAACTTTGAACTGACCTGTTTTCCCTCGCTTGCACAGGCTCTCCTGAAAGGTGTCTCAACCTTTACCTTATATCGTTCAGCATTTGTCCTGGCGACAAAAGTGTTTTTAATGTAGGATGAATATATTTGACAATGCTCACATTACCTCAGGACAAGTAACTTCTTTTCCGATTGAAAATTACCAAAATGGAACTCTTTCACCCACTTATTGTACCATTACGCGGCAATTCCTTCCTAACGTTGTGATAGTCCAGATTTGTATGTCACAGTATCAATATGCAGCATTTATCTGTCGAAGGCGCCACCCATGGAGCTTGAAGAGCATTTGACTAATCCCTCCTTCACTAGTCCCATCAGGGAACTTGTGCTTAGACGTTTCGCAGTCTTCCACAGGAACCATCATTTAAAGGTTTTAATGAAATTTGGATGATAGTGGCACCCGATGGGGCAAATAAATTTATAACTTCCAGTTTTTAACTTGGGAGAATGGAGTGGGTACTACTTCATGTTGTCGCACTAGACTCATCTCAAAAGTTTATGTAAGGGCAACGCGTACAGCAATTTATTTTAAGAAATCGTACGATATGTGCAGACAACTTGATTTTATGTTTGCTGGTTGAATTAATCAAAGTATCCTCATTTCATTCATTCACGTCTCTACACTTTGACATTTGTCAATCACAACTTGTTTGAGCAGTCGGAAGTGGAGGCACTCTGAGCCTGGATGCTCTTTTTACCCTCCAAGGAATGTAATCAAGCTTCTGCATCTTCACTAACCAGTCTCAAATCCTTCTTCTATCTTTTCGTTTTGCCCGATGGACTGCGCTAAAAATATAGCCTCTCTATGTAAGCTATTCGTAGTGGGAATCAATGCATGGACGTGTTTTTAATGTTGTCACAAATCAACTGTAGCATATTGCATCAGTAGTAAATTTGTAAGCAAATTTTGTTCTTACAGCCTCCTCAGTTCATTTGATGCTAAATTTATCCCATTAAATTTTGAGTGAGTTGTAATACCGAGCTGTCTGCTGATACTTTTCACATGTTGGACTGTGTTTGTGTGTGATTCTTGGTTTTGGCATCGAGCCGTGTTGAACATTTTCGACGCAATGTTATACTTTCGGCTTCGGTGCCCTTTACGTAGAAGTTAAGTGTCCAAACAAGAGCCTGCGGAGTTGCTTGTTTACCTTTAACATGAATTAATACAGTGAAATATTCTGTTTGCCTGTGCCACATCAGCTATAATTTTTCGTTCACGTGTTCTGTACTTCTTTTCAATAACAAATTGTTTCTTGATGTTTCTTGAATTGCATTTAAGTAAACTGATTCGCCCCACCATCGGATTCTCTTTTATTTCGAAAAGCCTAGTCTATGGAGCCTTGTTACCTATTTCTCACTAGGCTTCCACACCAGGCATTAAGCATGAGGATCAACTCAACTCCTTAGAAATTTGTTCGATGCCATTTAAAGCGCTTCAAATCATTTGTGTTTCACTGCCGAATTCCCTCGGCTGCTCGAAAGCGTTGGGTTGGACTCGCGACTGCTGAGGTTTACTTTTTGGTTGTTTATTTCTAGGAGTAGAGATACGTGTTTCCGTCTGTGAATAGCGTTGATGGCGTTCCCTTTCGGAGAATAACTTCTCTTTACCCTTTGTGGTGGCGTTTGTGAAAAGTTTAAAGTTAATGGTAACTAGAATTGCAGAAATGTTGGAATTTAAAAAGCTAGCTTTTCATGTTCAAGCTCCTCCTTCTGTTTTTGTTGCTACATCAGTCTTTATGCATTGAATGGAAAATGAATTCAACGATAGAATTACGACTTCAACTGTCATTTCTTTTTGTGGCCTATCGTGTACTGGGCGGTGTGCTGTTGGTTAAGATCGGATATTAGTCCTTGCCTAGTCAAGTTCGTCTACCAAAGTAACCGCAAACCAAAGCACTCGACTGGTTTCACTGTACTTTACTGTAAGGACTCGTAAAATACAAGAAATCTTTTAAGTACTAACCTTATGCATGATCGATGGAGATGTGGCAGTCTCGTCCACAGGTACGGCGCCGCTTACTCTTATTTCATATCTAAGTTAAACCAGACGTCTGCGATTCCGACTCACCTGCTATGCGAGTCGGTTACAATTTCTTTTTATTACTCCAAGAACACTTTCTCCAATTGGTTTTGACATTTGGAGATGTGCTGGCAGAAGAAGCATCTGCATTTGTGGACGTAATTTGATGTAGGGTGCACGTTAACGTGCGTAGTTTCTGGTTGGCTTGAGAGTTGTTTGTTGTGCTTTTGTAGTACATCTCTGTCACACTCCTATTGCTGACATATCACTTCATTTGTAAGTTTTGTTTTGTGTGGGGGTACGCTGCGGACGAAGTCGCCAACTTAATAAAGGTCAATTTCTTACGCCCTGATCCATCGACCCAGCTTATTACAACCCAAGCAGTTTGCAGAGAAAATGTTGACTCAGCACGCGCTGGTAGCAAGATACCCACTTTTGATGAGCAAGGGGGAGGAGGTGTATTTGGTCATTTCCTCCTTCTTAGTCTTTATTATTCTTCCATGTAGATATCACCTTTCTGATCTTTGACATTCATATTTTATATGATGCAGACAGATTGAAGATGTTAAGGTTTCCACGTATACAAACAACTACTGATACACACGATGTCCTGTTGAACCCTTCAGGTGCACTGGTGGGCAATGCTACTGATAAGCTTCGCCTCCGTGGCCTCAATGATAATCTTTATGCGACTGTGCAGCTACAGTACACCCTCATCACGTGCCTACCACTACTATCAGCATCAATTGAGAAGTCCACTGCCGCCACTTCATCCTCCACCACCGTCGCTCCCGTCCAGGCCAGTTGAGGTAGTAGCATCAAGGAGACAGCCACAGGGAATGCCGAGAGAACACTTCGTACCTTCCTTTCGACTTAAGCGACGTCGCACCATCGATCCAGTCAATGGAGTGGAGCGGCATGTCTCAGAACTCATTCCCGCCTCCTCTGTTCCTGTGCCCTATCACAGAAGTCGTGGCGATGCTACTGGCAGCGGTGGGGGGTGTTCTCGGTCCCATCCCAAGAAGTGAGCTCTGTTTGCTGTTTTTTTGATCATCTCGATGTATGAGTGCCAAATAATGCGTTTCTACCATTCATGTGTGGTTGTCAAGGTTGGTTATGGGTGAATTTCGTTGTGCTGTTAACTTTATATTTTGGTGCCCACTTTAAGTGTTACTCGCGAAGTGACGAAGATGGGTAATTATTGATTTGTTCCAACAATACGTACACGTTAATAGCAGCAAGTTTGACATGGTTACAATTTCATTTCAGCTGGATGTGTTTCAAAGCTGAATGTACTTTCTGGAGGATAAGAGCACAAGACTTGACATCAGGTTAGGTTCGTAGGCAAGTAAGAGTGGATGTGTTTCGAACCCCGTGCACGGTAAAGTGACATTTCTTTTTTTCAGCTTAGTAAATCTCACTTGGATCCAATTAGCGAGTCCGCCTTTCTGTAATCAGATTAAGACAGTTTTCGTTTGTGTTAGAGCTAGGAAGAAATGGATGAATCACCCAAACACAACCAGAAATAATGTGGCTGCTTGGCGGTCCAGCTTGTTGCCAACAGGATCGGTATACTGGCAGAAATGGAAATGGGTTGAGGAGGCGCTAGCACAAGTGCCAATGTTGGAGTCACTTGATTTGGCGAAAACTCACTCCATTTTGCGGCAACGACATGCATTTGGGATCCTGGATAGCCGTTTTGGAAATGTTGAAAATAGCTTCTCCCTATTTTCTTCAGGCAGCATAAAGTGGTAGAAACATTGACTTAATAATGCTACTTGTGCATGAAACGTCTTTTAAGGCAGAATCCTGCTAATTATTACCGATCTACTGATTTTTGACTCCTTTTTCAATCACCTAGAGTAAAGCCTCTACAGTTTCCTCTAGTAGGTGACAGGGTCGCAGGAAATAACGGTATGATTGATTCGGTGACGGCGACGGTGGCGAATTGCCTTACTAGCGTAAACGCTCATCTAAAGCAAGATATCGAATGTATAAGTAAAATAAGACACATAGTGTGTTGCAATTACTTACCCTTTCGTGCTCCATTTTCCGTCGGGGTTCTAATTTGACTGAATTTACAAGGAAGTGAAAGACCTGCGTCTACTTAAGCAATCAATCTTATATTGGGGCGATCTTGATGGGAGCATTGGCGGAAGGAGAGCAGAGAAGCAGCATTTTGGGGCTTATGTCCTAATCTTAGTCGTACTTTAGCCGTCTATTCATAGAATTTTGGCCATCTCTATTGCCTGCGAGAAATAGGGACACACCCACATTACACGTGAACGTGTTGCCGTATCCATACCCTTAATTTTTGCGCATGTAGCAGTGTGATGAGGATAGGACTACAATAATCCAAATAAGCGTGTTAAAACTCGAAGAAAAAACGACAAACAACATAGTCTGATTAGGAAAAACATGGAGTAGATATTTAAATAATTGTCTTCGAGGGATTGCCGTCGTTTTGAACTTTCATGCTGATTTCAAACCTTTAGCTCGGTGGTTTAATAGCTTTTTTAACTTCCAGTCAAATAAGCTCGCTCCCGTTGACTTTATCCTAATTAAAAGCCATCATTTCGTGATCTGATAAATCTAATTTGCTTCATTGCAACAACCCAAACTTGGTACGATTTGTACTGTCAGATCAATGACAAACGTGAAGGCACTTAGCAAATCATTCAATTCTTCCTTTAGGAAGTTAGGTTTTTGCAACAGAGTGCTGCGCTACCATTCATTGAAATACTTTGATCCTGGTAAAGTATCCACTTTAGAAAATCTCTAGCTTATTTTGGCTGATTTTGCGTTTGATCTTCCCGATGCAGCATATTTATTCGCGTACTTGGCGAAAAAGTAGCATAACTTAATTTTGGACATTCATGTGTACAGACCGTGGCATTGCTATCAATCTGTAGCAATCAGCAGTTTATTCCCTTTTCTCACTTCTTTTCAGTGATTAAGAATTGTCTCACCAAAATACTGATCTTCTTTTTGTCGATCTTCGAAATAGAAGCCTGCTACCGCAGTTGATTGGCTTTGAATAGCTTCCATAGGCTTTGCTTGTTCCTCTTTGTAAAGCATTTAAGCTAACAATGGCTTCTGTTGTAGTTAGTTGCTTGTCCTTGCCACCATTATGTCCTTTTGAAACCATGCTAGGATTGAAGCACTAGGATGCAAGCGAAAAGGAAACTGGGTTTGACGGAGGCAGCAGGCTTAGTAAGGCGCGAATTTACACAAGGGATAGCATGAGTCATGGTAATTTGGTCCCATCTTCCAACCTCGCTCTGGGGGGTGATCGGAAATCAATGAATAGCTTTTGATGCATGCGGTCATTATCGATCATTTGTTCAACAAACTAGCTGTGAAAGTTTTAAACGAGAAGTGGGTCAACTATATGTACGTGGTTGTTGCAGCAGTGTGTGCTTCGAACAAAAGAAGTCCTTTTAGAATTGGATTTGATTTCCGCTACCACCATCGTAGTGACCTGCAACTTCTTTGATGGCCTAAAAAGTAGACATCTAGACCCACCATGTATTACCGACTTACGGAAAGGTTTTGCGCAGAGAATGCCGGCATTGTGGGGCGGTCATTTCGATCAGCGGGAGTACAAAACAATGCAGGATTAAGCAATCGGTCCTAATATTGCAAATAAATCCTCTTATCACCCTTAGTGAACTCTTCCATTTACATTAAGGAGGGTTGTTTGCTTCAAATCTGTGTTGGTGTTGCATTACTGAATCTATTTATGCGTTGACAGATAAGCAGAAATTCAAAGAATGGTATAAGCTAAGTTATTCAAACATGATTTGTATCATAAATAACTGTCCCTGGTCTCTGATTCACAGGGCTTTTCGGTTTGAGCGCTCGCCTCACCTTTTTTGACCGTTTTCAATCACACCGGCCCACACATGAGTTTCGCCTCCTGGCGCCAATTTTCGAAATAATTGTTAGTAGCGCATTTGAAGCTTTCCCACCACTCTCTCTAGTATTTTCAAGTCTCATTTTATTCTCACGCACTTTTCTCGCATTTATTTTTGCCTTACAATAGGTTGAAGGGCAGTTAAAAATCGGAAGATGTGCTTAAATGGGCATTAGCTGGTTAAATAGGTGATATGCAGTCAACTTTTGACCTAATTAAAGTTGACGTGACCTACCCTACGCATGGTCTGCGTTTTTAGACCTGATTGTATGATGGGTAGAAGTGGAATGCCACATCGTAATTGAACAGTTATCCCTAATGTTTAGTTTCGTTTATTTGAAAGTTCTATTACCTGACTTCCAGACCCCGATCTGTCAAAAGCTCTGCACAAGAAAGAGGTTTACCGTGAGGTTATTAAACAGCCGAACAAACTTACTGTCCCAATAATAATATGCCTCAAGCCTATTTAGACCGAAAAATAATCGGTGAGGTGGTAGGAAACAGGAGTAGTGCGGTCACGAAGCTTTCTTGCGGACGTGCCAGACCTCCAGATGCGCATATCGATTAGACTTCAGGGTTAGTGGGGTGTCAAGATGCTCAGCATCTCCGAAATGGGACTCTTAAGTGTTATGAATGTTACGACAATGGCCATCCCTTTCCACCCATGCTAGTCTGTTTTCCAACCCACAGGACTAAAGTTCAGTTGAATACTAGGAATGCCACAATCAATGCAGACCATTTGGTAAGGGTGGACAAGGCCTTTTAAGGTGTTGAAGTCCTAATAATATTTCTCAATTGCTATACTAGGTGTATGAACATCATGCGAAACTACAGATTTGCATCAGCTCCTTGTTTGATTTGATGCTATCCGCGGTATGGAAACACACGCTCTCATGAAACACCCATTTACGGCTCTCTGCTTCTCCTCGAGTTGGCCATGCTATACTTTGTCAATTGGTAGGGTATGAATGGTACATGTATTTTAATTAGTCATAGCCTCTCCAGCCGGCCAAGAGCTTTGTCACTCATTGTTTCGAAGTGTCGAGCAAATGACGCGATTTTTGCGAATTACAATTCTCGATTAGTGACATGACTATGCATGCCAGTGGACTTTGCGTTAACAGGAGGAGGAGTCGACGAAACTAACCAGACTAATTATTCCAATTTAAAAACGGTGGTGTATGCCTGATTCTTTTCTTACTTTAGTAGCACGTCTTTCTCAAATGGATTATTTTCAAGAATGAAATGCCACTATAATGAAATTTTTTGGGCTCTGTTGGCTGTTTTGAGGTCTCAATGTTGCTTAATTTGTTAGCACGGTGTTGATGATGAGCACCTACATCAAGATTAATAAATAAATAGCGAAGCTGCTAGTCGTTCCATAGAAGTAACCAGTTGACCTGAGTTCTCCTCACACAGTTGTAATAGTAAAGCTTCGCGGATAAGTTGCTTGAAGTTAGTAAAAGGACGGTATGCTTTGGTCTTTACTAATTATCCTATGGGAAAGCATGGAACAACAAGGATCCATTGCCACGATCATCTAAAGTTTGAGGCTCTGTTGGTGTGATCTAAGCACTATGTCTTTTGAGGCTGCAGTGGTGAACATATAAATTGGTTTTGAAGTGCTCAAGTTATTTCTGATGTTGATGGACAAGAGAGTAGTGCCATTATAGTTGTGAGAAAGTTCACTTATTTAAGTGAATTAAATATGGTTCAGACACTGGAGACCCAGAACCGGTATTGTAATCGGCTGATGGTGAGTCATTTTGTAAAATTGTAATAACACGCCTGAGAAACTGTAAGAAGTGATTACAAAAGGAGAGGAATCACGACTCTTTGCCACTGTCCTGTGTGCTAAAGTGCTGGAGATCGGGAAAACTTGCGCGTTAGCATACAAAACGGATTTATCAAAGACGGTGCAGGTCGTGAATATGGGGCAGTATTAACATCAGTGGCTGGAGAAGGCAAAGGACTCCCAATCTCTACACTACCACCATTTCGGCTGGATCACCTGGGACTGTAAAGTCCTGTATATCCATTAAAAAGGGATTGCATTGAGCTACGTGGAAATTTGTGGTAATTTCAGAGGTCAGACGAAAACGCGACCAGTAAGCGTTGTAGTCTACCCACAGCCTGCATTACCCTCGCATGTACGCGATCTGCCAGTTCATCACCAGCAGCAGTCCGCCGTGTCCATCGCACCTCCGGGCCATGGATCCAGATCGGATGGACGAAAGCGCCCCCTATCCTTTGTAGTGGTAGGAACATCTGAGACAGCTGGAAGAAGTGGTGACAACCCATCTCGCATCACTGACAACGAAAACCTTCTTCTCCTACTTCCTCCCGTCAGTGGCAGTCCTCCCCCTATCTACAGTCCACGCAGGTACCGAAACTTAGGCAGATTCCTTAGTAAATAAGCATAAATTTCTACTCAATGGTTTTAACAACCCTTGAGTACCTTAACATACAATTCGGAAGTGGTTCTTCCGAATTCTAAAAAAACAGAGGCCAACAGTTTGGATTCCAAAATAACCAATGTGGAGGCCATTGTAATTGAAATTAGGTGAAACATTAGGACTGAGGTATTTAAAGATGCGAACTAAGACGCGACCTACATCGAGAATCATAATTACGAGTGAAAAACCCTACTTTTTTTTTCTCAGAAAAGTTCAAGGAGTAGGGATCCACAGTAGTCAATAAAATAAGCTAAACATCGGCAGCGAGCATAATCAGCAGGGTATACACCCACTGCAGAAACGACCAGCGTATAGTTCAATTCATTCAAGCCAAAATTTGTTTGTACTGCATAAACTCCTAGCCATGATTGGCAGTTCCTGCTTGCAATGACACCTTCAATTCAAAATCAGAGCTCCGATTTAGCTGGACAGCAGAGTTAAATCTCTCCATATTGGAGAATGTGGACTCGCACTAATGACCCTTCTCATCTTTTATTTGCAGAAGCACTGATGAAAACAATGAATGATTTGCCGAATTGTATCGTGCTCTCCAGCCGATTTTATTTGAAAACAGCTATCATCGCTTCTTTTTCTAGTAATTGTTTTGCTGTATAGAAAATGTCAAGTGTTGCTATTGTCATTTCGGATTCTGCTCTTCTCCCGGAGGCTTTTATGGACCCAACTATTATGAAGTGATTCAGGCAACCAAACCAGGGTTCCTTGTAAAAATGAGTTGGAGTCACAACAACATATCTATTATTTAATTTGGCTGCTGTTGGGAATCCATTCGCTAGGATAGACCACAAAATGCCTAGCCAATCAGCCAACTAAACACACAAAACTCCACTACACTTCCATCTCCGCATCCGCCTTGAGGTCCTCTTCCTCATACTCGCTCATTTTCTCGAAATCGTAGACAAGAGGTGAGTTGACATGTTTCCTTCCGATTCTCAGCAGGCGTCTTAATGCAAGTCCAAGGATGAGGACGACTGCAAAGAGGGTGAAAAGAATCCCTCCAAGTAGCTTCATTTCCCAACCCGTTTCCGGTCCGCTTCGCGCAAGGTCGATGACAGGTTTCCCGAAAAGTGCACTGTTAAGCAGTGGAAAGAGATCGTAGGTGTAGACTACCCCTTGTTCCTCCCCACAGCCGAATTCAAAGGCAGGTCCATAGGCCATGAAGGTGGTGTGCATGTCGGTAACATCAGGAAGATAGCCGTGAACACCTTGAAGTTGGCTAAAAATGTCATGATTTAGCAGGTGGTCCCAAGCGACAGGCGGGTGGTAACTGATTTGGAAGACGTAACCTGGGTCCGCAATCAAGACAATGGGTGGTAGGAGAGTTTGGCGCCATGACGTCACCGGCATAGTCCATGGAGTGTATACGTGAAAGTGGCTGTTCTCAGGAAGGCTGTCAGTTAGCTGAAATGAAAAGAAGCAACTAGCCAATGTACCCATATCCTTCAAAACAATTCACGAGTGCACGCATGATAAATCAACGTACATTTTTCTCCAGGTCTGGTTTGGGCCAGAGACCAACTGCACTGCCAAAGTTCACAACTTTGTCAATGAGCATCCTGGGAAGCGTTAGAGAAACGAGTACGTATGTATGCATGTAAAAACCGAGAGTAGAGGTAAAAAAAACTGATTTATAGAGGTTAATACAACAGATTACCACTTGAAAAGCCGATCGAGCACAAGGAACTCCTTGAAATCGATCATTCCATGATCGGAAACAACAGCAAAGTTCAGAGTTGTGTCATTAAGAGCTTGAAGAGACTGAATGATGTTGGAAATAGCCTCATCGACCTTGAGAATCGTCTGACCATGTTTCAACTCTTCTGATGACGGTCCGCGATCGTGGGCCACGCGGTCAAGCCCACCGTAGTACACAACTACAGCATCAAGAGTAATAATGGAGACAGCAGGTCCTGGGTAGTAAACCCCAAGTCACAAGGACTGAAATTCAAGCGGTAGGTTATGAGCATAACATTATCCTTACTGTAGCATTAGAAGAGCAGAGAAAAACGAAACAACTGTTAGGCACCTGCAAGATCGATAGTGCGGTTCCTAAGAGATTGCAGAGCATCCCTTAAAGTCACATCTAGAGAAGCATGCTCGTTCATCAGTTGAACACAATCTATGCCGCGTTCAAGTAGACCCAAACAGAAGGGAAAGTGGAGAAGCTTTACGCTTTTGCCCTGTGGATAAAAATGTATGGTGAGGAAAGGTCGTATAAACTGCAGATCTCCGAAAAATTATTTCGAGATACGTACCTGTCTGACGGCCTTGTTCCAGAGCAGCTCCGGATGCGTGTAGTTAGCTTTAAATGCAACATCAAATACGTCCAAATCAGTTGAATTATGACCTATAACAAAAGAGTAGCCGATCCTAATTTCTCCAGGCAAAAAACCACAATAGTGAAAAGAGGAAGTACCGGCGAAGAGTGCATGCATATTACTATAGCAATTGGCCGGAAAAACCGGTTTTACATGAGGTACGTGACAGCCTAGTGTGCGCATCTGACCAATTCCTCCAGCCTTATCAAGATAGTCGGAGTAATCCCATCTCAGTCCATCCAAGAAGAGGATTAAGAGACGAGAATCGTGCGGCGTTTGCGTATTGTACGCCGAGCTCGAAGCGTGCGCAACGAGGACAAAGAAGAGGAGAAAAAGCACACCCATACCGTCGGCGTAAGCTATAAAGAGCACTATTAAAGACGCTTAATAGCAGACGTTCATGGAGGACTACAAGCAACTCTTGAGACCGTCTTTTATTATCACAATCAGAGATACAACTTTATGAGCTCATCGCTAACAGCAGAAGGCGTGAAGATCCCTAAATCGGTAACCAGAGAAGTTATGTAAATAGGGTTAGTGTAGTCAACCAAAGGCATATATTTCTCCACCCGCTTATCTCGATACCTTGCAACTTCGAGCCACGGATCGTAACGCGGATCGTTCAGCACAAGTTTCGGTTTTTGCGGCTTTTTACTTTCAAGAACCTTTGCTAGTTGTGAAGGAGGCCATTTCAACTCATCTGGGATGGAGCGTTGGTCAAGAGGATAGACACGAAGGAATTTAAAGGACTCAACAAGAACATAGACAGGTTTCCCCATACTATGAGCAATCATAGAAACTGAGCAAGAACCAAGGGCGTTCAAGACGCCGCCGCTTTCAACAACAGCCTCGGCCCCAAGGACGACAGCATCGATTTGAGGCATTAGATAAGCCACAGAAGTGTCAGGGACGCTGGAACAGGGAACACCTCGCTTCCGTAACTCTTGAACCATGCGACAACCCGATCCACTTGGCATACATTGTGTGACATAGCAGTGCAGTGTACGACGATTGGCTTCGTTGTTAACTATGTACGAAAGAGCCTCGATAACGGCGCGTGATTTCGCGTGGGTCAAGACATGAAAATTGTTGCGGAAGAGAAGGCTAGTGTTCCTAGCTATTATGTCCCTGTATCCGTTAATCTACAAACAGAAATAGTAAAGTTCCAGCGACTTAAAAACAACAGACGCGGGCAACCACCCAGAAACAGAAAAACCTGCAGATAACATGGATAAAAAGTGAAAGTCAAGAAAAGCTTAAGAATACCTTGTTCAAAAATAGGTAAGCACGGTCTAGAAGAACCTTCTTGGCATCTTCAAAATCGCCCGGATTGTCTAAGACCGCAAGTGTAATGAAACGCTGAAACATATCGCAGGCAGATTTAACTGAGCAATTCGCCCTGTCAGTCTGGCGCATCTGCCTTACGGCATCGTTAATCATGTCATCAAGACCTTGGACGGTCCGAATGCTGCTACTTTTTATAAGCATGATAAGGATCTCAGTCGCAACAATAGCCTCAGATTTATTTTCCTCACTGTTACAATTTTCCACAAACAACTTTCCAATATCCGTTGTGGAATTGTATTCAAGCGCGTCACCCAATGAAGTAATGGGTTCATCGGACGTATCACCCGCAGTCATCTCGCGCAAGCGAGCGCTATTCGGCGCTTTTTAATAGACGCTCGCGATGTCAAAAAGCGACGTAGATGCAGTTAAACTCGATGACAGCCAGCCAGATTTACTTAAAAACGAAGGCACAGGATTATTTTGACACTGCCGCTTTGGTAATACTTAAAGTGTCGCCACTACAATTAATGATAAGACATTAAATAAAAGTGCGAGCTTTTAAGAACATACAATTTATCGACTGCAAGGATGATTTTTTGATAAGACTACTCAAAGGATTCCATGATGATTATGCTGCTGTTTGGCCAACGAAATCAAAATCTTGTAATTACCTTGTTCGAGGTCGAAAATCAACAAATGCTGACCATTAGTACTCGCATTTTTCATAGCATACCACTATTTGGTAGACAACATTGCCAATTCTTAAAGAGTATTTGTAATTGTTGCGTCCAAACATAATCATACTGTTTGAAGGTGAGGATTGCCCACATTTATGGAGCGTGACAGGTTACACTTCTGTAATTCGGCCAATGAGGGATTGGCCGAACGAGACTGATATACCAAGGTGGTAATTAAACTACCATGAATGTGCTCAAATAAACATGGATATCTTTTCGATTGGGCATGTGTATACCGCCGCTATCAAATTTTGAGGTCACGCCTTTCTTGCTTTATGTGCAAAGTGGCATTCATGGGATAAATTCAGGACTTTGTACTACCATTCTATATGCTTATCAATGGTGCAGGGTCTCACGTACAGTCGAAACCACCTTAGTCTTAGCGCGAACTAAGCTAATTCTGTCATAATTTGAGCAGTCGATTTGCTTTCGGTTGCCTCTTTTTTTTCTTTAACTTCTGGAAAGTTTTGTATTTGTGTTACTCAGATTGGTATGGCAATGGGTAACTCTTGTCTATGCTGCTAGCATGACTACAAAAATTGCTAAAATAAGTAACTTGGCCCTTCACGTCTTCCGCACACACTCTCTACGCGTTGCCAATGGAGGTGCGGTGTTTCCCGCTGTCGCTGCCACTGCTTCCGCTTGTGACGATCCCGAAGCATTGAAGCATCTTCTTTCTAACGTCGCTGCTCTCACCCTTCACGATGTTGGCCTCGACTCACCCTTTTCTTTGCCCCCTCCATGCCAGCTCAACGCACCCGTGGCCTACATGCACATAACTGAGAATGAGGTATTCTCTATGGGCATGTTCATCCTCCGTCCTGGCTCTCGCATTCCCCTCCATGGACATCCAGGCATGTTTGGAGTGATTCGAGTGATGCAGGGCTCTATGCGCTGTCGTTCCTTCACTCCTCTTTCTCACAATAAGTCTCCTACTGGTGCCGGTTCGCAGCCAAGGGCATTATCAGACGGCTGTGGTGGCACCGCAGTGATGTGGCGTCTTGCAACCGCATCCGACCTTACTGTAGCCGAACCGCACGCGGACAAGCTGCTAGGGGCCTCCGACCGCACCCCCTGTCTCCTTACTCCGTGTACAGGGAACCTACATGAACTAACAGCAGTGGAGGGAACCGTTGTCTTCCTTGACATCCTGTCGCCTCCCTATGACCACGACCTGGGTACACGGGAATGCCTCTTCTATCGCGAGATTGATTTGCCTCCCTTGAGTGAAGTGTGTAGTGTTCGAATTTCATTTTTGTATCATACAAGTTAAGAAGTTAGCTCTATTAAAACGTAAAAGTCCGGGAGGCACCATGGCATAGTTCTAAAGCTCTACTCTTCCTATTTCGCCGTCTACTAGCGTGGTTGCGAAGTCTTAAATTTAAAACAAATAGAATTCTAGTTGATGAGTTTTGGAATCTAAATCTAAACTCATTTTTTTGCAAACCTCATCGTACAATACAGCTTAGCTCTTGTGCTTTCTAATTCGTGGTTCACTGCTCTGACACCTTATCACGGTGTGGTGAACTGGCATCTCATCAACTCGTATCTATAATTCGTATAGGTGGATGAATTCTCTTCAGCTTGGAGGTTGATCTCAACGTAGTCGTGAATCTCTGTCTATTAGTTTATTTACTGTAGCCGCATGACTTCGGTAGGGTGTCTGGACGTCAAATTCGGATTCGAGTTACCTTATCAGCACGGGAGTCTTTGTAAATCATGTCAATTCGGGATAATTTCTACTATTATTAGATGTGCAAGGAGGTACGTCTCCGGACTATTAGCTTGCATATTCTATAATAGAGACTAGCAAAGACTACAAAGTGGATTGATAGATGCGGTCCTGTTACAGGTGGGATCGCAATCGCTGACGCGAGGATCGCCACGGGTCTACCTAACCGAGATTAACCAGCCTAGAGATTATTGGTGCGAAATTCTACCGTACCGTGGCCCGCCGATTGTCTAGACGAGTTTATGCTTTTGCTATTAGTGATTTGTGAATACGATGTTCTTATTCTCTTCCTTCTGAACTGTATTCGGTCCATCTTCTACACAAGTTAACAATTAATGTGTATTTTGAAATAAATTTTGTTGCTGCACGTTGGCCATCTTTTTGATGATCGTCTGTCTTGGCTTCTGTCGTGTTCTTCCCACATCAGACATGCTTGGGAAGACAAAATTTCTTTTTTTCAGTAGGTGCCCAACTGTATTCTGCAGACCTATTGTGGCTCTGCTAATCACGTGACGGTAAAAGGAAGCGACGTTTGTTTCTAGATGCGAGAGATCTGGTTTATAAATTTGCTACAAGCTCTCCAAGCCACTCATCCGATCGCTTGGCTCTAGCTTGTCCTCGAACTGCAATTTTGTGTTCAGAGTCATCTTATTACCTGGGTTGACTTGTATTACTGCTTTAGAGTCGAAAAAATGTGCTCCCATCTTGGCATAACTGCTACCTGCAAGCCAATTATGCCCCTCACTTTTTAGAATCTTGGTAGCCAAGACGGTTTAATACGTTATTAAACCCGCCAAGATGGAAATGATCTGTGCTTTTAAGGAAGGTTGATGATGGGGACGATAAGTGACCCCATTCAGTCACTACTAGACTAAACTTCCACAGTATGCGACTGATAAAGACCAACCGCCTACCATATTAGGACCGATCAAGGACAGCTGATGTCAAACAGCGTTTGAGCTCCTCAAAATAGGAAATGCTCGTTCCCATGCAAAGGCCTTATCGTTTCTTCATGGCAGGCACAAAGAGTAAGACACTAAGTTGCCATTACACAGGTGTATACTCAAACCACATTAGAGTCCGATGTACTCCTCACAAGTATATCGCTCCACACTAATTTGGAGGAGTATAAAACCAGCACCGCAGACAGAATTAAAGCCTAATTTCGTTGACTCGGCTATCAAAAATGCCAAAGTAGTTGAAACCCAGGTAGCACTAGCCATTGCTGTTTTCGCCCATATGATTGACAGGCATCTAGCCAATGAAAAGGTTCTCACAATTAGAATTACGTTAAGAGCTACTTATGGATGTGGTTTACAACTCCCAAAAATTGGTTAAAGGTTGACTTAAACGCACCCCTTGACCGCTCACATCAATCATATCAAGCAATGAAACTGAAACTGCACACCGTTGGCATTGCCTTCGACAAACTAGGCCAGCAGTGGCATCCATAAACACTGAAGACCACGAGTTACACATGCTACTCAGGCACGTGACTTCGAGAAAGTACTGCCACACATAAAAAGATGCTGGTACTTAGTTTACCAACGGTCTCGCTCTCAAGTATTAACGATAGCTTCAATGTCTTCTGCAAAATTTGACAGATTGGAGACCTCGTTGGATACCCCATTTACCTAGGCGTCAAGTGGTTTAAAGAAACCACGAAGTCGCACTGTTTATTGTTGGGTCAGAATGTCTGAGAATAACCACGTTTGACCCCTCGAACGAAGAAAGCTATCCAAATTACTACTTTACCCAAACAATAGGCGCCTCCGCGAGCATACACTTGTGATGGATGCAGTCAGCCAACAAACAGCACAACCGCCAGGTTGGCTTCAAGAGTACTCCACGCAGTTGACCGCCAGGTCAGCATCAAGCCAGCCCAAATGCGTGAGGAAACCCAGAAGTCAAAGTTGTGGCAAAACACCTTTCGCATACGTCAGTTAACTAATAAAACTTTACTGAAGAACTTGAACCTTTATCGCCTCCCAAGTCTTTGGCTCAAAAGCAAGTCCTAAACATCGTGGTTTTTATTATCAACATTAATAGACGAGGAGCACATTGCAAGCCAAAGCTTCATAGTTAGAAGAGGAGAGTAGGGCACACACTTTTATTTGAAACTGCAATGCGATTAAAAATTTTCAAAACATTCAGATACATCACCAAATCCAATACAGCGCAGACCAATCTATGTTCATATGCTTTCACCTTCAAATGCAACAACAGTTCGTATGTACAGTTGTGCAGTCTACGTAGCCTTTACGCCCCTTTTTACACTAAGGAATTGCCGCCTTGCCTCTTAAGACCGCCTGTAAGACTGCCAATGGATTTGAGGAGATACTAGCGGGCGTTACTAAGGGATCACCAACACCAACACTGCCACTACAACCACCATCATTGCCTTCTAACCCCCCAGTAATCAAATCATCGTCGTAACTATTAATACCCAAGCTAGGCGTCGGCGAAAGACCGGGGATATTAACCACTGGCGAGCTATTTGCACCTAAGTTTACCTCCTGTTCCTCTTGGCACATTTCAAATTTAGCTGACGCCGCTGGGATACTTGACGGTGGCAGTAGCAGCGGCAGTGTGGCTGGATCGCCCTTCGCTTCTCCCGCTTTCACCTCCTCCTCCTCCTCTTCCCGCTTCACATTGGTAACCTCGCTTAGCACTGGACACGACGATGACGACGGAAGTCGATCAGATGCGTCGCGAGAAGAGGAAAAATTCAACGTTTCTATGGCATTTTTTGTTTCTATTATATGGGGCTCGGATTTTATCGGTACAGAGAGCTGCGAAGTAGAAGGGGCAGGACTCACAGAACCGCCAGCCTTCTCCTGCTCTTCTTGATACTGCTCCTTCTTCGACCTCTTCAATACACCGTGAGAAGTAGAACCGCCTGCAACTGGTACTGCAGTCTCCACCTAATAAAAATGAGTAAGCAAGAGGGTATTGAAGGTATATGCCCTTCCTAACAGGCGCCCAACAGACTCACCGGAAACTGCTTTCCAGCATCCTCCAAGCATATCGGATGGTATGCCCTGCCATTTTCAATGACAGCACCCTGAAGCATCCATTCCCCTTCTTCACGGTCGAATACTTTGTCAAACTTATAGCCACACACTGCACATTCCTATCGAAAGAGATTGAATTACCACCAAAGCAACGATTTCAGGCTAGTACTAGATAAGCAGTGTAAATCAGACGGAAAGAGATGTAGGAGGAAGCAGTGACTACGTACGTTAAGTTTTTCATCTGCGAAAGACGGACACCTCACTTCCTCCCCCTCAGAGATGTTTGCTGGTGCAGAGAATCGAGGCGCTCCTCCGTTGGTTGTTTCACTTAGCAGCCAGCAATTCTTGTCTTGATAAAAGGCCCTGCTGCGATGTTCTTGATGTTCAGCAGAATTCTTCATATAATGATAGTCCAAATGAGTAACAAAGTCTGACGAAGTCTCACTCTCGAACCTTACCCCACATTGAACACACTGGAAACCCCTATATAAGGTTTCAATTTCTGGTGTGAAGGGTTGGCGGAATTTTTCCCAATTATATTCCTTCAAACTGGGCAGGGAGTCCGGTTTAGCTACAATACCGGCTGCTATAAGTTTCTGCAGCAGTTCTTGAACATTAATTTGTGGGGTAGTAATGGAGGTAGAGGAGGCAACAACTTCCTTGGGAGCTCCAGTATTCCTATCTTGGATACGCTTTTCTTCCGACTGTGTTGGCTTCTGAGCGGTTTGCAACTGACGACTACGAGCAGTACTTACTTGATCGCTACGAATGGAATCCAGTCGGCTTTCAGATTGACGCTCCAATTCCACCAAAGGATTCCGAGGAGCTAGATGAAGACTGCCAGGGGATCCGAATAGACCTCGATAGGCCCAGTCGAGAATTTTGGGGGGAATGGCAGGAAGAACATTGACATCCTGCGGAAATTCACAAGCGTACATAACTGACACAGTCTGGTGATCGATATTAATTGTCGCGTAGTGAGAATTGAAAGGAATGGTGTGAGGCCGACCGTCGATAACAAGTTCGTGACCGGGGCCACCCAGGTAAGCTATTCGTTCACGTCCCGCTGCCCTTATTCTCGTATAGCCTGTACCAGGAATTACATAGCGTTGATGATCAATAATGAAAGCGAGGCTATCGCACCGAAAACGCACAGCATGAAGTTGATCCTCCACCTCAATGAGAGGTTGCACTCGATCCAATAATAGTGGATATTGTCTTCCATCCACAGTTATCTGGCGCGGGGTTTTCTGATTCGGTACCCGCGACAACATGCGTGGATCAATGCCGATATTTATCATATCGGAAAGACCATCAATTTCCACGCTCCACATAGGTCCTCGAATGGGAGGAACGTTGTGAGGACGGCTGAAGGCCGTTGGCGCAGGTGGAGGAAGCGGATGTTCCGGACTTGGTCGATGAGGCACCATCTGAGGTCCAACTCTGTGAAAGTGCGGAGGAGGCCCATGTATAGGTGGGTGTGAATGCATTGATGGTGGGTTTCTATGAAGGAGGCATTCGGCCGAGGCTACACGAGGCAGATGCACAGAGTCCACGGTGGTCGAATGACCCAATGGGTGTGGGCTTGAGGGTGGCAAACGAAGTCCACCGCGAGGCATAGACTGTGAACCGCCGCCAACACGCATGTCAATATCCTGATGTTTGTCATGATCGGGAAGCTTAGGAGAAGATGGTCGAGCACTGGAAACTGAGCGCATATCCTGATCCTTCAAGCTAAATAGCGTTCTAGGTTTCTTTGACGCTTGCCTTTCCACCTCCTCCTCCACCTTTCCATACTTCCGAGCGATTGACTCCATTTTCCGATTACCATCGCGGTCAATGAGAAAGCTACTTTCAACACACTCATGCTGTGGAGATTTCCGTTTTTTGTTGCGTCGAGGATCACGAGCCTCCGCTATAACGGCCTCTGTAACGGGAATGGTCAACTGACTGGTGGCAACGGCAAGCGGTTTGTCACTAATTTTGGTTGGTGAGATTTTAGGTACGGAAGGAATCCGATTCGTTACTAGAGTCTCATCTTTGGGAATGAGAGGCCAAGCTGGGTCATGTTCACGAACTTGGACATCGAGGCTTCGCATCTTTGAAAAGGGAAATATTTCTTTCCAAGTAGTCCGAAGATTGAAAAGTCGTTTCCTCGTGTTTTCATCACGGATCTAAGAGGGTGAATAATCCGAAGAGATAGCTACCATCTGAAAAGAATGCACGAATAGCGGCACGATCGCGTCGGTGAATAACTTGCGATAAGGAACACTAACGTTTTTCACAATCGAGTCTATCACATACAACCCGAGCAATTTGTAATTTGCAGGAATCTGGAAAAGACCATCAGAAAAAATTAAAACCAAATAAACAGAGAAATGGGTAAAAAACTGTAAATAGGTGATCGAGCACCTTGGATGAGTTGTTTCTGAAAAATACAGGCACGAATTCAAAAGCACCAGAAACGAGTCTGTACACCACTTAATGCAAAATATGCACGACACTAACAAAGCTGACAACACAAGTTCATGGAGTAGAGGACAGATCTAGGAAACACAGACTAACCAGGACACAATGCTACATTGCTGCAAGATTATGCAAGCAATAGTAACGACTGATAAAGGAAACGACGCTGACAACTGACCTTATACACATGACAAACGGTGGCCTCAACCACGCTCTGTGGAAAATCTGGAATATGTGCATGATCCCTTGCCAAAAACGTTAGTTTATTTATCCTATTTTTGTCATTTTCCGTTAGATCAGTCAGACCTTGGCGAAACTGCCTAAGTACCTCCTGCGCTTCGGTCTGCATAGGTACAAGCACCTTCACAAATGGCGCCTCATCTAAGCGAAGAAAACAAACAACTTCAAATAAATAATTAAGTTATGGATTTGAAAGTTGGTAATATAAAGGCCCAAAAAATCATCCGCTTGTAATTGACTTTGCTTATTTGACATCATAGTGACCATAGTATAAATGTTTGTAATTCGTTCGTTACTAATTTCTTTCTTGTGGTATGTTAGACTAAAACTTATGACTTGTTACGTTTTGGATGTATAGTTACATTACTAATCAAAACCATTAGACTTTCACTTCTGTAGGCTAAATATTCTGGAATTAGACTTTAAAAGCTTGCTATTTTTCCATCAGGCCATAGTTCGGATGCAAAGCACTCAGCGTAGCATCCGAAACTTTCTTACATGTAAGGAAAGGCATTAGTTTGGCTAAATGCGTGCACTTTAGGAGAGGAAAATGTCTTGATCCTAAATTCGGTTTGACGGCCAGCCTGTGCGTACAAGGGCAGAACGATCACCAAAGTAACCATCACACATCAGGTGGTCACCGTAGCGTTCCAACACTTTTCTTTAGTTATAATAAGGCATGGCATTAAGCAGAGTACATGTAATCTAAGAGGCGAAGAAGAGACATGTCCTTGGCCTGTCCCAAAGGCCAAAGTATTACAACGAACTTTGGGACAAAAAGCACAATACTTTAAGTGTACTGCTTGCCTGTACAAATAAAAGAGAATCGAACGACAAGACCACGATTGGCAGTTATGCGAATATAAAATTGCGGATCAATAAATATGATACATATTGATTGTTTGAAATTCGCCTCTATACCATTTTAATATCCGCCCTTGTCTAATAAAACATTCAAAAAGGCAGGCTTTCACGGAGTCGGTCAAACGGGCGCCCGATGACAAATGTGCTGAGATTATACTTCCTCATCAATAACTGCAGTTAAAAGCTAAGCATGTCTGAAGTACATATGAATTGTTTGAAATTGCGCCAGGTAGAGGGAGTGTGAAGGCGTTAGTGCTAATAAGCTTGGAAATAGGCATGACTACCCACCGCAGTTACCGATTTATGGTGCCGTTACTTCTGAATTTCCACATAGCTTAAAAACCTATTGTGGCGTCCCGAGGCTTCCCATAGGGTGGAAGAAGGCATAAGTGAGGTTTAATACATGCATTGCGAAGACGACAGGGCAAATGGAGCCTGAGCGTGGCCCACGTGCACAGGTGCCAGGCGAAATCCAAAGTAATCGCTAGACGTCAGGTAGTCACATAAACACAGCATTACACCTGTGTATGAAACCAATTATTAATTATGACAATTGCAACTGTGTATTAATTATTAAGCACAATACGTTTACCTGTCACAAAATTTTTACTTATAGCGCCTGCCTAATGCACTTTCTATCACTTAATGCCGGTCTTTGGCGAACTTTGCAAATTGACAGTGTCTATCTGCGTAGCGAACGGACAAGTAAGTGGGTGTAAAGTATTCGAAGTCTTCCAAACACCAAGACATTAAATGTCTGTCACTCATCAGGCTAAACTACACCAAAAGATCCGGATGCTCATACTGACCTATTATTCACCAATCATCACCTGCTGTCGTCGCAGGTGCCACGCTCAATTAGGTTGTGGCTTGGAAGTATGCATCTTGATTCGCGAGACGACGTTGGGAGCTCTAATAAGTAACCCGGATTAAGTGATGGAACCTTAATTTTCTAGAATCAGGCTATATTGGGTTCTATTTTATTTGATTAAGCTTTCAAAGGCTTTCTGCTATTTTACTGTTTATGATATTCTGAAGGGATTTCACACACTCACATATCTTCTGCTATTTAAAGCACTGTAAGATTTTGATTTACACTGAATTTAAAGATGTGCTTTCGTATTGTTCATCCTGCAGAAGCCTTTACATGGCCGCGGGTTCCTCTCTAAAAGCTTGGTAAGCTAGTTATGCAGTGTCAGCGCATAGTCCTCTCTAGTACTTAAGAATTCTGCGTCACGCAACTATACGCATTGCGCTGGACATTATGTGGATAACAGGGCTTATTCTCTGTGGGCCGTTTCGGTATATTCCTCTAGCTTTACCTACCCATAGGTTCATCCTCTTGTATGAACATGGTGATATTGCAGTGATAGCCCTTTTGGGTACCTTGTTCATAAAGTCGGTTTCGTCCGCTAGAGTAAGCATGAAATAATCATTCATTCAGCTTTTAGTCCAGAGGAACGTTTTTCTTTATTCTTGGCGCAATATTGATTGTCTTTTTTGACCATGACGTGAAGGATTCAGCCTCTGACCATCGTATCCTTTTATTTCGTTACGCCTTGTTTTATGTATTCAAGTCCATTATTTTCCTTCCCCACTGTTCTGTTTATAGCTGAGGGCATACACAAAAGCCTTTTGATCCACAGGATATACGAACTTGTCATCCACTTAGGTCTCTCGGATCACAAAGTAAGATATTTTAAGTAAATGTTATCATTCTTGTCCTCTACATTCATATTTTCCCGAATTTCTATGTAATTGTTGAAACCTTCTTTTCTTCTCTTGCCGTCTTTTAAGACGGGTGCTGTTCTGCTTTTGATCTCGACATGCGCTGAAGCGGGTTTTAATTCAGCGGCGCGCTCTCTCGCATCATCAATAGGTGGGGCGAAACGACTGTACACACTCTCAACTTGCACTTCTGTTGGTGTCATCCTCGTGCTCATTGTTGCGGCAGCCTTTCTGGGGACCATCTTCATCCACAGCGAGCCACCACAGGTGTCCATGGAGGCAATGCGAAAAGGTCTGTTAAATGCGTCACTGACTACCTTGCTCACACATGCCGTTTCGCCTTTATTTCCAGTTGGACATACCGGTCAGTGAATTCAGCTACCTCTATGGCTTTTCGGCGACTGCACTTGTGGTGCTCGTATTCGTGGCAGACTTCTACTTCTCCGATTTTATGGTCAAAAAAGTGGGACCTCATTCTCCACAGAGGGTTTCCTATCCTTGTCTGGTGCTGACTGCGTTTCTCATCAGGTAGGCATCGTTCAATGTTGCAACATTCTATCAGTTTCGGTATTTCGTTAACCTCTTGAAACCACCTTGCCATTTGAGCGCTTATTGAATTTTGGAGTTGTTAAAAGTATGAAAACCAACATGAAACAAAGCATTTATCTAGTTTTTTCTGCTTTCGCTATGGAAGAGTCCACTCTCGAATGCCTCATCATTTGCAAAGGTTGTGACCTTAGCTCCTTTCAATATGCAGCTTTTTCTGGTCTAGTGGGAGCTAATTGAGCTTCTCTGTCTCTCCTCTTCCTTATTAGCCGTTGTGGACATTTCTCTCAAAATATAAAATCGCAAATTTGTTAGAAAAGTGCTTTGTCTTATAGATTTCAACATCACCACTATTTTTTGATTATCATGATTCTTAGTAAATATGTCCTGAAATTCTCTCAACCTTGGTTCGTCAAGCTCATTAAAGGCTTGTGTTTATAAATAACAAACAAGTAGGCAATGTTTAAGCCCCTTTATTGCCTTCGTGAAAATCGTACTGCTTAGGGAACATTTTGACTTAGCACAAAATGAGGATATCCGAGCCGAATCTGGTAAATTTTGCTTGCTTTGTCATGTTCGTTAATTTTTGGGAAGCGTATTTATTGAGCTTGTCTCAAAAAATGCTATGCACGATCTCCTCTCCCTCTTTTCGCCCTTCAGTGCTTGCATCAACGGCTCGGTGGCTTCGGCCGTCGGTGGACATGTAGACACTATTATGACCGAGTTTCCTTCTGCTAGACCCGTTCACCACCTCTCTACTGGTGCGATTATTAGCTTGATGGCCTTTCTCTACGGTGAGTCTCTTGAGACCCTTAAAACGATCCTTTTTTTTCCCAGATTAGCTCCCATAATAAGTTTGTTGCTACTAGTGGCTGAGGTTAGTTGAACATTGAGGAAAAAGCGCTGTCTGGTGTGTCGCTTGCACTGCGTATTCTACTTGTATTGGTTTAAACTCATTCTGAAACTCCCTTTCTGATGTTGCTACTTTTATTTCTAAGCAAAAGGTATGCTGTATTTAAACGAAAATTCGTCTCTTCATCGGTACAGTAGATGTTTCTCCTTCATTCATCATTTTTGCTGGAATAAGACCTTTTTTGCGTTTAATTCTAAAGGCTTTTCCCAGCGCTTCCACAATCGCACATTAGTGTTGATAACTTTATGAACAGACATATCTCATGATTATTTCTGTCTGACGGGCCACCTACAATTTCGGGTGGTTGGGTTATCTTGGAATGACATTTCACCACAAGAGAAATATCATTTTATTGCCATCCTTTGTACGTCCACTCGGGTAGTCTGAAAGTCCGAACGCTAATGGATTGATTCAGTGAGTGCTGAGCACCGCTGTAAGCTCGCGTATATCTTGGCTCATGATTTTGCGGAAATAAGAGTTCAGATAGTGAAATGGAAGAATGGAGGGTGTTTGGACTGCGGAACACTTCCGTTTGAGTACTACAATTAATTTAAACTAATGTCGAAGCACAGTCGAGGGTGCTCAAGCATCTGCTTTTGACGCTCGACCTAGGATCATGAACGTCTTGGTTCACAACGATGAGAGATCTAAGGCGCAACTTGATGCTTTTTGACTAGGTGATAACGGCAGATATCATTAAGGTTTGTGCACTTTGTAGATGCAGTGGTTGTGTGTTAAGCTAATTTCCATAATTTAGAACCCGTATAAGCCGTATCTAGAAAATATGCAGTCGAAATTGATGTGACCAGCACCTCTAACACTAAACTTCAGTCGTGTGGTAGTGAGCTTCCTTTTTTTTACCCGACAGTTCATTATCTAATGAGATCAGTCAGGATTTTAAAGGCATCCATTCACCGTTTGACAAACAGATTCGCTTGGCACTGAATGGGATTCGAATTTGTGGATCCCGTAGCTCAATTCCAATCGTCTATAGTTGGGGTGAAGTCCAAGTGACCCATGCCTTTTCTCACAGCTTCTACTCTGTTGAACCGAACAAACTCAGAGAACGGAGGTGGCCGGTTCTACAACAGTCGGCGTTTTGTTGGATTCTCGCCTGCTGGTCTGCCGCTCTACACACCCCAGGTGATGCCTCTTAGCACTGGCAGTGGTGGGGAAGGCGAGGGGTTGAGCTTTGTCTACCACGCGGCTGTTACGTTAAGGCAGGTCACAGCCGACCGAGCTTCATTCCGCATATTTGTCTTCCTCTGCCTTAACTTGGTGAGCCTCTTCCTACAGTCTCTTCCGTTATGTCTGTACCGGGATCGACTTTCCTCCATTTCAGCAGGCTTGTATCTTAATTTTGGACTCTGAATCTATGGCATAGTTTTTTTCTCTCACTCACCACTTGTTGATACGACGTAGAGTTGTATTTGACCCTGCTTTTGTGGATGCTTTTCCTTTGCAACCTGTATACCGTTCCTAAAATGTCTTTAGAAGTGACTTTGAGTAATCACCAGAGGCGCCACAAAACACAAGCTCATGCGTAACTGCATGAGTTTTAGCTGTTGAAGACCGAAAATGAGGAAGGTTTGCAGGCTGAATAGGTCCCATGACATTGCGGCTGTCAATGCCTGTTCCAAGACTTGTGATTTCCAAGGCAGCTCCTTCGCGATTGCGCAAAATGACTGCATAAATGCCAACAGAGATGACATTGGTAGAGTTCTATGCGAATTGTAACGTTACCTGTTCACTGGCGTTGTAAAAGCCAGATTTCGAGGCCCCATCGATAAAATACACTTTTCATTAATCAATCACTCTCAGTAGTTTTTTTAAGTGATCAAAGAGGGAGGACCGGTGATTGTACGAATCTAGTAAAAGATTTCGCTCACGTCTCTTTCAATGTACTCACCTCTGTCACGCTCAAATCCGTCTCTGTTAGTGTTCACAGTAAACGCGCCTCAAGTTCTTTTGGGTTAACCTATAGGAGGGAATTGTGGAATGCATGCGGATCAAAGTAAAGCCATGCCACTTTATATTGGTCAAGTATATGCATTTTGGAGCTCTGGCCACTCATTGACTAGCATATAATTCATGTTCGCTATTACGATACTCGAATCTAACCTTTCCTATTACGGCAAAGATTCTCCACATGAGATCTCTAGCACTTCAAATCGTTCCCACACTCCACTGGACATTTCATTTGACAATGTTTAGTAATGGCCAGAAGTCGAACACAAAACTCTCACCTTTTAGAGACCGCTCCGAACTCACATTGTGGTGACATCTCTCTCGTTTCCATTTTGCACTGCCACAAATGAACCTACAGCCTCTGTGCATTATGGCTGTATGGCTCTGTCCGAATGGCAGATGCACTAATTTTCGGTCTGGAAGCTAACAAATGCGACTTAGGGGCCTCTAACGCGTTTTAATTAGGACTTTTGTAGCTCACTTTTTACGTGTCCTTCTCTTGTCTTCAATTAGTCTTTCACCTTCATCGAACTCTTTTACGGTGTATGGACCAATAGTCTTGGCCTCATCTCGGACGGCTTTCATATGCTTTTCGATTGCGCGGCTCTGGTGATGGGTCTCTATGCCTCTGTGGTGGGACGCTGGAAACCCACCCGTATCTACTCCTATGGGTGCGTCTCAGCGTGGATCTATATTTCTCTCTCCTTTTTAGCTCTTTCTAGCCTTTCAATTGAGTTGCTGCAAGTATGAGTGGGGTGATGGTCTTTATTTGTCACGGGATAGCATCGTTTGGGCAGTAACTACCGCAAGGCATTTATAGCCGACTGTGACAGGACTTGTAGCTAGACCTCCAGTCCACAAACGTTGCGCACGATTACAGCATCGAACACTTCGTATTTAATCTTCACAGCTTCATCTAGCAATGGTTTTGGCCGGTATTTGGGCACCATTAGGAGGGATCGAATTGCCAACCCTACACTCAATCACCCCATTTTGAAGTTCGTACAGTCGACATAGCGCAACTCCAAACTCATTGAATGCCATAAAGGTGTTTTCGATACCTCCGATTTTCTAGGCGATGCGAAAGGTATCCATTTGTTGCCAGTTTTAATGGTGATAAATAAGAGTTCGCTTAAATTGTGTATGCTATCTGTTTCGTGGGCGATGCTTATTCAATGAAGGCAGGTATTTTATGAGTGGATCACCTCGAGGATCACAGAGTAACTGCATGCCCTAACTTCTCTTGGTGCAGGTTTCATCGAGCTGAAATTCTGTCCGGCTTTATCAACTCCCTCGCTCTAATGGTCGTCTCCGCCTCCATCTTCCTCAACGCTCTTAAACGAATTCATCAACCTCCGGACATCAGTACTGATCGACTTATGGTAAGTGTGATCTGAAAATACCATCGATCCTCTGCTGCCTGTGTTTTTTTCGAAAGCCGCCTCTCTGAAAACCTGAGATTGCGAACGAGTTAACAGTAATAAACCTCAGAGATGCGTTGGTAAGTCAATAATGCGCAATAATGGATATCCCTATTAGAAGCCCTCAAAAGCTGACCTCATAATCTGGGTGCTACTTGAATGCTTGTTAGTAGTCATCGGGAAGAGATTATATTAATTTTTAAGGTCCACATTTTTAATTCGAACCAAAAGCGGTTTTATCTGAAGCGCTTTCAAATTGAATCGTTTCTCTTTCACTTCAACCGGATTAATGTACTAGTAAACTATCTCTTCCTCCTTTAGGCAGTATCAATCGGTGGTCTGCTAGTAAATCTGGTGGGCATATTCGCCCTGGGGCATGCGCACTCCCATGGTAGTGGTGGGGGTGGTCACTCTCACAGTGGAGGATGTCACGGCCATTCGCATGGCAGTCATGGTCACTCGCACAGGTCGGATAAGGAAAAGAATGCAATAGAGGCGCAAGTAGTAGTACTTCCTTGCTCTAACGGCTTTTCCGATGCGCATGACTCCTTCGCGTTTGACCACGAGGACGCATCGGGGGACAGCAATCTCAGAGGCAAGCGGGATCTCATTTTGCCTTATCTCAAAATAACGCATTATAATAATTACTTTCTACCGTCGCTGGCAATAAGCTTGGGCAAATTCAATTGAGGGGACATAATCTACGAATATTGGAACTGAACTGTGTCGTCACTAGTCCTTTAATCCGTTGACAACGGTTACAAACCAAGTTGTCAGTTTTATGGCTTAGAGATACTATGACCCGGGGCTCGGAGGCTGGAGGCCTCAAGTAGGCAAGTGACGTAAAATGTCACGAGAGTGGGTGCCTTTATTGACCGAAGTATGTACAACTGTTAGTCTGGAGGCTGTAAACTAGTTTAGGATGATATGAGCTTGCCCTTGAGCTGCGTCTCGGTGTGTCCATTTCATTGTGGCAAATCCAGTGGAAGTGGGATACGCATCCTATGGATACGCACTACTTGGGTAGGACTGAAAGGGAGTTCGAATCTACAAAGATAGAAGGATAGCTCACCATTTGGAACTTGGAACATACCAATTTTTTTGGGATTGCAGGCACTCTCGAGCTGAATGCTTTTTTTTTTATTTTTAGGCGTGTATTTACACGTACTGGCGGATACCTTAGGTAGTGTGGGGGTGATAATCAGTTCCTTCTTTGTCACCAGTTATGGTTGGAACATTGCGGATCCAATCTGCTCTCTTTTCATCTCTGGTGCCATCACGTATTCAGCGTTACCGTTGGTCAAGGACACTCTTCTGGTGTTAGGTCTCCGAGCGCCTCACAAGCACCATCCCGCTAATCCCAAACGCATTCTGCAGAAGGTCTAGCCTCTTGACTGGTCTTTTTTCCTCAATTTATCCATCTATTCTTACATAGTTGGAAAAGTGTGCTCTTGACCTTAGAGTCTTTCCACTGCAGTAAATAGTAATCTTAAATGGATGCAAAATGCTGTCTAAAGTTCCCGTGGAAGCACTTTTATTGGAGTCCAATCTTGAACTAGCTTCTGAGCTAATGGCTGTTCGTTTAGGTCAAATTATTAAATTTTAGAACGGTAGTACCGCTCTTATTTTTGTTGAAGAGAGTTAAATAATCATCTTGAAATAAACGAATATGGAAGAAGTCGTTTTTTGGTAATGCGTCCCATCTTCATAACTCAGAGATGGTGATAAACGGACTGCAATCGATCTATTGTTTCTTCTCTCCTTTATTCGGAAGGTTCTCCAAGTGGACAATGTGCTGGAGGTAGTGAATCCATGTATCTGGCAAAATACGGAAAGTACCGTTTGCTGTTCAATGCGTTTGCGTATAGCGCCCGAGGCCACCGAACAACTGGTTTTAGCCCAAGTGAAGGAGGTGCTCAAAATGGACCAGATAAGTCACCTGACTATTCAATTGGAGAAGGATGACTTCTACCGACACATGGAGGCTCTAGATCTCCACTTGGATATTATTGGGCGTCACACGCGCTCCAGCCTCGCGGATCTCGTCACCAATCACCATCACCACTGGCACTCCCAAGATCCGCCACACAGCAGTGACAGCGGTGGTGGCGGCAGCTGGACTGCAGTCAAGTTCTGAGGCTCTCATCACTCCTTCTACAGATTGATTTTATGCTTCTCCCCGTGGTCTTTTATAAATACCTTTCGATAACTCACAATGTAGTAGATTAAAGTCAAGTGTGAATATTGATCCGAATTGTGAAACTTGAATGTCTTTCGTTGATCTTTGTTAATAACGGGAAAATTTTTGGTAGTAGTAATTGATAGCGTATAAGTTTGGGCTAAGTTGTGTCAGCAAACGTTGGTAGCTGCGCACGTTATCGTTTGCTTTGCCATTTCCATTGATATAACCAACTTCAACGTCATTAGCAAGGTAACTTCGGAATACGCTCTTATCTGGATGACATTGCAGGTACTGTGTGCTATGACTATAGGTGGTGTGCCTCCTCTCACTTAGGACACGTCTATCGGCGATCAAATGCATATTATAGGACCAGAATTTTATGTCATTGTTGACGTTTGGCTTAGCTCCGGCCATGTGTTTGTCATTTACAATCTCGGCCACCGAAGCGGTCATTTCTCTATTATGAAGCTGCGCGGCATTCACAAATGTTTGCATGCAATTTCAAAAGGTCTGCATACACTTGCTGTCGTCAAAGCTGCACAGAAGATTGCGTCGAAAGATCATTTTAACACGGGGGCCAGTGTGCAATGAGCTGCATTGAAATCTCAGCTATGTATTCCACTTCGCCATCCAAATAGTCAGATTATGCAGATCCACCACGGAAAGTGAGCCATGCCACCTCAGAGTGTTGCAGCAGCAATGACAACCTGCCATTTACCCAAGCATTACAGATGTCATTTGCATGTTGCAACAGGCGTGCTGCCACGAAGGACCCGGTTTCGCATCAACTATGCTAATAGAAAAATGTCCTCTTATCGTAAGCACCCACTTTCCCAATTCATTAGCTCTTTGTAAATGCTACCAACGCACAAAAGTGCTGAATTGAAGAAAAAAATATTTCGAAAAACGAATTTGTTGTCAGGTTTGAAATAAATACTTACACGCAATTTTTGATACTCTGTTACCTCGACGTTAAAACTACAATACGTAAGGCTTTACGTGATTACCGTCTAATCGTAGAAGTCGAATTGTGATAAGAAAATATAGGAGAGCGATGGGATTGGATTGGCAGTGGTCGTGGAATGGGAGAAGAGAGGGGGAGGAGAGTGGACAAAGGGGATAGGACAAGGGAGACAGACAATTCAGGGCCGAGCATAAGACTAATACACTGCGTCGTCCGTCGCAATCCAAAGTTGACTGATTTCGAAGGGTCGAGTCTTCTCCTTCGCCTAGGATGAATGTGAGAGTTTAGTTAATGGCAGCCATCCCAGTGCCCACTTATTTGAACACAAAAGGTTTCATGGACTACGAAAGACGGAGTGCATAAATGCCGACTGCCAGCACTCCAGTATTGGGATCTAATTGAACAGCATATCAATCCTGTTTCGATATTAACTCCTTCGTATCGGTTATTTCAGATTGTAAATCTGTTTGAAGGGGACCTACAGAAGCTCTTCGACGAATGGAGACAGCACGTCGGACTGTTGGTAGCTCGTCCGACATCTCCATCCAAGGATGCTTGAGGCAGGCCTCGACACTAGGACGATCTCTACAAAAGATATATAAATCCAAAATGCATTAGCCTTCCTGCGCGAACAGATGAGGGGAGGTGATTTGTTAACCGCATACTTGGGATTCTTCTTAAGTATGGTGCGAATGAAGTCCTTAGCCTTATCGGAGGCATCACAAATGCCGTCATCGTCAAAGTTATAGCGGCAGTTTAGGATATTTGTTGTTATCTCTGGCAGGGTCAATTCCCGCTCCAGATCGCCAGATTGGGGGCATTCGAACGGTGTGATTCCAGAGAGCCTAAAAACATTGCACCGTAAGTTCATTTCAAACCTAATGTACAGTGAAGTTTAAATATACAGAATTGTTTGCCGGCCTATTAGTAGTCTCAAATCTAAGTAGCGTCAACAGAACGTTAGAGCAAAGCGTGCTTTACTCTACACTGGCAGAGCTAAGAAATCATACTCTAAGGATAGACGCAAGGGACATTTATAGCCGCCGTCACATCCCTACACATCCTATACAGAGTTAAAATGTTGATTTTCAGTCCTCCGCACACTGTATATGCTGCAGGTGAGTTTCGAGGATGAGTATCGCATAATGTTGAAAATACATGGAGAGAGTACTGGACTACTAAAAACTAAAAGCATCGTGAAGTGTGATACAGACAAATCCGAAAAGAATAAAAAGCGTTAAGTAAATCGTGGTGGAAAAGAGACTGGCAAAGAGCGCCACAGTAATATGATGGTGATGGTGATGGTGATAATGAAGAGTTGACTCGATGGCACTTACAGCTCGTAGGCAATGACACCTACACTCCAGATGTCTGTGGCAAAGCTCTGATAATCATAGTTGATTGTTTCGGGCGCAGAGTAAATGTAGGTGCCACCCATTTGGCGTCGGGGTCGTTTTGGATCATAGAAGTATGCCAGACCAAAGTCGATGATCTTCAGCTGGTAGCCTGAGGGTGCCACCATCATAACATTCTCCGGCTTCAGGTCAAGGTGCAGCACCGAACAGGCCTGGATGTGCTCCAGGCCGAGGAGCATCTGACGAATTATTGACGCACTGATCTTCTCGTCCAAATTGTCCTCGGCCACCACACGATCGTACAGAGCTCCACCGCAGACACTATGGCAAACGGAAACATGGTAAATAAGGCGATTTCATGCTACTGAAACACGTAAGTAGCACAAAGTTTCGCATGAAAATAAATGACGACAAAAAATAAATTTTCATGTCCTGAACGCGTAGGAGATTTATCAAACTAGATTTTTACAATTCAGCAACGAAGTGTCATAGTGTTGTACTCATGTCAACAGTTTCACAGTCCTTTGCCGTGTTTAATATTCGGCTATTTACAAGCTGGTGCAGGTCACTGCGACGTGATGAAAAATAGAGGATATTACAAAAAGGCAATTAACGCTAGCAAGACTCAGTGTGATTTGGAATCTGAGGTTACGGAGACGGAGTATCATTTGGTTGGAAAATTCCCAGTTTATTCCTACGTCAAATTGAGATTAACATGCGGAAAGTGAACAATCAAGTGTTACGTAAGAAACCTTGACTTCCTAGCTTTACTGTTGGAAGTCATGCTTAAATGCTACACGAGCACAAGCGTTGTCATCTTTTGTCTGTAACTGCGGTTTCGATAACGAGCCTCTAGCCCTCGCGCTGTGCAGTATGCCCAAGCCTTTGGGTTGAAAAATAATGCACAGTCTTCCTAGGTGCTATGTCTGCCAACATCCTCAGAGGTGCTAAAAACACCTTTTCTGTCTCATTCCTTCCAATTTCCCAATACAGCACATAACAGGGTAAAATAGGATTTGAAGGGAAAGAAAAAAGTCGTCGCAAAAAATCGATGGAAAAGACGATTTGACAGCAAAGCTTTGTACTACTTTATCACAGAGTGCTCGGGGGAGTGTGAAAAGTGCGATGACTAAAACACGGCCTTAGGCAACATACATGAATGCGAAAGGTGAAGTAACTCTCATTGCGACTTGTGTCGGTAAATTCAGCCACGACAGCGGGAAGTGCTTCGATCGCCATCAAGCTTAAGGGTGTCATCAACAAAATTCCATTCAGCAAGTAATATTGCACTTATGTGTTAAGTAATTCATACCTCTCTCCCGGGTACGTCAATCATTCAACGCAGCACAACCCCTGAATGACCCTCTGCTTCCTTAGCCAATAGAAGTGATGGTGAAACGGGTCCTTCAGTTTGGTGTGGTAATGGCTTCCACACCAACGATGACGTCATAGTTAGTCACCATCTATCTGACCGGTTCCCAGTTCTGCCATCTCCCAGCCCATGAATCCTTTGCTTCCCTTTTAATTTCCCTCACATTGCACACCTTTTGCAAATTCTTATGGCTCCAACTCAGATAAAAGCCCGCATTTCGCAAGTCTAGATTCCACTTTGTAGGAATTGCAGAACCCCAACAGCCTTTTAGCTGCAAACCAATGGAAATGTGAGTTTTCTTCCCCACCTCCTTGCTGTTAAATGCAAATTAAGAGACGTTTGCATCTAACCCCGGCCCCTCATACACCAGACTGTCTGGCTATGTCACGCAGCCTTACGGATATTCAGAGAGTCCTACGCCGTATTGTAAACAGACAAGCTAAAGTTGATGGGAATGAGTAACTCAGCTTCAGCATTTCCATTGGTGCTGCTATTATCCTGTTGATTTATACTCCTAATTGGGAAAAGATATCAGTTTTGTATCACAAATGGGTCTTACTTAGGGAGACCCAGGTAAAAGTCGCAGCATAATAGAACAATCGCAATCAATGGCTTATCGGCTGTGACAATGCAAGCCATTGCAAACGCATTCTTGCTTGAAGGCACTTAAGCAAGAACTTCAAAGGTCAATCAACTTTGGAATGCAAAAAAATCAACTCTGGGTCTCAAGTATTGTGTTTAATGTGAAGAAGTGAGAGCGAGGCATTTTTGAGCCTGATCCAAGCTAGTGACAAATGTCGAGTCCATTGAAAGGTAATCATGATTGCCAAGTCCTCACTTGTTAACCACTTCTGGCGCTCCGCAACCCAAAGGTTTGAGAAGATCGAGGTGGACAACGCATGGGTAGACAGACGGCAGAGTTTGCGGAAATTTCGCTGACAGATTAGTTAGATGCAGTGAGGTACTTTAAAAGTCCTTTCTAGCGTGTGCTAAGTACGCTGGATCATTTGTAATTCCGCGTCGACTCTCGCCTTTTCATGAAGAAAGTACCCGAACAGTGGAATGATGTGTAAGCATTCATCTATAAAAAGCCTAGATTAGTGGTTTGGGGGCACTACAACTTCATGTTATCAAGCTAAATGGAATTAATGCAATGATTAGGGTGACTCAGTGTGTGTGAAACTTGAAGTAAGTTTACTCCAAGACGCAATTTTGTGCTAAATAGAGGAGTTGCCAGTCGTAAGAGCGGGCACTTTACATGAATAGCATAGTCAATAAAAGACATCTCATTATTTTGGTTTAGAGAAGGGAAACGCAAAATCACAGATTGCTGGACATCGACATCTATTTTGGATAGCAGAACGGAGACCTGAGCATAGACGAATCGTTGGTTTTTCTCGATAATGCTTTAAAGAAGGATCAGGAGGACTTGACTTTTGCTGCTAATGCGAATGCAGATCTATTTCCCACCGTATTTTTTTATTGCGCGGTATAATGTAGGTGCAATCACGTGCGATCCACGAATGCTGGCGTCAATCTTATCCCCATAACTGCGGTATTCTTAAGTGCATAATGAATGGCTTTTGCAATCTTTTGTCAATAAAATTGAAGTTGACAGCAAGATTATTTTATTTTCATTTGCAAGGCACATTGCAATCTCTCAAGCCTTATACTCTAGTAGTCTTTGCAGATCGAACGAATTGAAGTGTTGAGTATTGCCCCTCTGTAACCAACTGGAATTTCACTGCCAAGGATTTGAAAGAAAACTCATGACTTAGCAGCAATATGCCTTCAAAATGAATTTACACAATGATACTCTCTTTTGATGTTTTACACGCAGCCCATTCGTGCGTAAAGCATGATTGGGTCTCAGGCTTTCCAAGGAAGCTAAATCACTGACAATGCTTTTACTTGGGATCTGAACTCTAAATTTCGTCAACTAATTTTTAAAATGTGAGAAAGTTGCAAAGTGATGAATAGAGCCTCAAGTGCTAGGGAATAAAGTAAAAATGGAGAAACGCAGCGTATGAACCACACTACCAGCAGCAGTGATGCCCCGAGGCGCTTAGAGGTGGTGCAGTCTCTACTAATAAAATGGCACTAGGCTGACACGCCAAAGGAACCGCAGAGATGAGACCAAAATTAGCCACCTTTTGGTCTAAGACGAAAACAGTGAGAACGGTGCAGTTCTTCCTTCCAAACAAAGGAAGTGCACCAGCAAGAAAAGCAGGGAATTAAAAAAAGGACCTCTTCGAGGACTTATCAGATGAATTGCCTCTCCTCCTGGTGACTGCGAGGAGGATGCTCATAGTAAATCGGATTGTGTTAAGGCAGCAAAATACTTTAAAGCATAAAAACAACCAATCCGCTATGTGGGTATTGATATGAGTAGCTTTGGAAGAATGAATTTAGAGTGTATGATACAGATACATCAGTTCTTGAGATTCGCCATTGGTTCTTATCCTTAAGCAATTGTACAATTTTCTAAGAAATCGCTTAAACATTTCCCAATTCAGCCAATTCAGCCCAATTCAGCACGAGCCCGAGATCAGATTAATAAAGTCAAATTGGAACGCAGTACTATCAATTCATGAAGTGCTGGCAAAAATGAGCTTAGATAAAAGCACCGATGCGTTTTAAGGTGTAACTTTAGACTCACTATTCGGTGATGATGAAGCAGGCGTGTTGCACTTCGTAAGCGCTGAAGAAGCAGGCAATATTGTCATGACGACCGATGGCCCGCAGCACTGCCACCTCCATGATGTCGCCTGAAACGTGTCGAGGAAGGCGGTCTGTCTTGATCTCTTTCATCGCCATGATCTTGTGTGTCTGCTTGTTCTCGCACCTCATCACTTTCCCGAACTTGCCTCTGCAATGCACGAGGATGACACTAAGAGTTGCAGTACTCATCAATTCTATTCAATTCACATTTTGCAAAATACCAAACACCAAAAGCAAACATTTGCACCAAACATTAGCAATTTATCAAAATTAATTCATGGACATCCAGCTCTTTCTAGGTATCGCAATGCTTAATTAGAAAGAAGATCTCAAATTTTACACATTATCGAAGAGTCGCTACAGTGCTTCTTCTACGACCGCTCCTCCCATACGGAGGTTAACTCAATAATAACAACTTTCCCCTCAAGGTCACTTAAGAGCGTATACATTTGGAGGAGGCGAGTTTCTCTCAAATTATTGGAAGTAGCTGCAGGAAAGGTGCTTGGGAAGCGTCTAACAGCATGTCCCATCACCCTCAGAAGCACACATTGTGGTAGCATTTATAACAATTCAGAAGATCCTCTGTCCAAAGACCTTTTTTTGAGTTCTCGAGCTCTGGTTCAAGATGGAGGGAGACAGCAGTAGGATATGAATTAAACGACTTGTGATTATGACTCGTCAACGAATGATTGGTATCTAAACCGGTGAGACCCTGCGAAAAGTGAATGAAACTTTATGCTGATGAACAGACCACCGTCCCAACTACAAAACACCTTCAAGGTTGTCGCAATTCAGACACACTGTCAGCCACCTCTCATTGACGGTCACGGACAGGTGAGGTCATAGCACACAGAAGCCTTTCCAATTTGTAACCCTGCTAATGGATAGTGGGTACGGAAAACAACTACTGCGTACGAGAACTTGACCTTCACTGATGAAGTGAGGCAGACAATGTCTCAACCATATTCCCAAATTTTCTCGGTCCAGATTGTGTGGAAAATTTAAATGGCGCTTGAAATTAAAAAAAGGATGACAGAATGTCTTTTTGAATTGTATAAATGAGTTGCAGCAGATTAAGACATGTTTTTTACTTTTAAGCTTCAGTTTTTTGTTTTAAACAAGAGTTATTAGCCCAAAGTCGAAAAAGGCAATTTGAGAACCTCTATTTGGCTGGATCCGTATTGAGGACAGAGAGTTCCTTGTGCCTTACGCCTTAATTAACTGATAGAGATTGGATTTGGGAGAGGACGTAAGGTTGCAATAGCTGTCACTTCTACGGCAGGTGAATAGTGTGGCACCGTCAAGGGACGTACCACTCCAACGTTCACGATCAGTATGAATGCAGGATAATGAAGGAATTGTCCGCAGGGCTATGAGAGGATTTCGGGACAGCACTGTCCTTACTCCAATCTGGAACTCACATTTAGGGACCATGGGCTAATTTAGAACTCACAACTTACTAAAAAAGATCGGTGAATGTGAATCTTTTCCATACAAGGTGTTTTCCATCAGTATAAAGTCGTCACTGTGATATCATAGGGCATAAAACGTATTCAATGAGTGAAGGAAACAATCCTTTTAAACAAACTCAATGACACAAAGGAGATTCTTAGGTTATTTTCTGCGAGCCTACTTAGAGAGCGAACCCATCGATGTGGAAGAGAGGATGACCTTCTGTAACTGAAATAAGTTCACTGAATGATGAGGACACCATTTTAGATCGTCGAAAAAGCTCAACATTCAAGGTTTGTGAGGGAAGAAGGAGACAGAGTGCGAACAACCGTGCAAACTGGTGCCGACGTGAGTAAAAGCATGAAGATAAGCATGCAAATGAAAACCTTCATTATCACCACTCTCTTTCTTCCCTTTTGCCTAGAGAGGGTAAAGTGTCAAGGCCGGAAATTGAATGAATGTAACATCATAGGGAGGGAAGTATGTCCGCAGTCTCGAGGCATCGTCGACTCTGTGGAAACGTCTTCCAGTAGGTGCAGAGAACAATAAACCACTCAAAATTGCTCACCATTGAGCTACGCTGTGAAAAAGTGCTGCCAATAGGCGATACTGAGGTAGTGAGAACGAGAGCATGCAATGCCCCCCCGAACCGCAATACGAGGCAAAAGAGACGCCTTTTTCTCATATTAATTGAATCCTTTCAGTCTTTTATGATCCAGCAATAAATACACCTCCTTTTGATTAAATTATGATCAAACTTTAGGGGGGAGAAAGGGAGGCCACCTTATCCGTTTATAAGAATGTAGTTCACTAGTTAACTATTCAAATGCTAAATAAAGTCATTACAGTTGATGCGCTTTCTTGTCAAGCACGGATACATACAGACGATGAGCATAAATTGAGAATAATCAGCCAAATAAGCTGTGGTAAGGGAGCAGCGTCATGTTTGCTGATGACGTCTGTCACTTACTTGCCAATGTCTTCAAAAATAGTGAAGTGGTCCTCGGGTTTGGCATTCTTGTGAGTGTCGGCAGGTATCAAGAAAAAGTCCTTCTCACTTTCTAAAAACGGTGAAAAGAGGAAGAGAATTAATTAAGTGGGGGCGGGTTAGTTAATTAGTTGGGTCAGAGCGAGACAAAGGCGATGGCATAAAACGTTGCCAGGGTAAATTAATGGGGAGATCTTAAAGGCACGATGAGTTTCTGAAATCATCTAAGTGGTGAAGCGAAGCATCATGAACATTTGCCTCTTTCCACTGCACTAACACAAAGTACGTGAATGACTTTTGCAAGGCATTTATTATTGTAAAATTGCCTTCATTGGGGTGATTAGTTTCAACTGAGGTGAAAATTTTACTTATGAAAGCAAAGAACTATTCCACGAATCCTCCCATTATGCCTTCTTTTGTCTGCAGGGAGAGGAATGTGAACGCTATCTCAAAGGGCAGCAACTTCGGCTTCTAGCGGTGCGTGAAATACAACATACCGAAAGACGTATGCTGCGAACTGGAGAAAATTGCTGCGGCCCCTAACAGAAGGAAGGTGCCCAATTCCATCTTCAATGGAAGCAACTGTTTGTTAGCCCATTGAATCAGTCGGCTATAGACCTGTCCACGGTACATGTACAAAAACGTCAATGCAACTAATATTCGATAGCCTCTTCACATCTCTACTAGCTGAGCAAAACGCAGATGAATATGAATGGACAGCGCTTAGGTGGGCTTAATGTGGGAAGGCAGAATGGACACGAGTTCATCCCCAAGGCACTGTTTTAACTCAGTGTTCTTTCGATCGGCTATGGAGATACGTGATGATCCTCACAACTCCTCGTTCCCAACCCAGTTTCCACATGAAGGAAAATTGCTGAGGAGATCAATGACGTAAGGTTCAAACATTGTCCTAGTTGAATGCAAAGTTTATGATGCGTGCAGTTGGTTATTTGATACTTTCCTCCACAGAACCGATTACCTTATAAAAGTCAAGACGGAAGGTTAACCAAGTAGAGCGCCAAAGGCGACAATAAAAAAGAGAAAGGGGCCATGGAGCACGCTAGGTGCTAAGCCTTCGGTTTCAGTCATGGTACCACTGTTGGATGAGTGAGCCTTTGGGACATCTCGATGATCCCCTACCTCTTCTTTAAACCGAGAATACGCATTCTACTGAGGTATTATGCTTTCATTCGGCCATGGAGAAGTCCTGATTGACTATAAAACTTCTAGTAACATTGCTGGCTACTTTGTGATTTGCCATTCCTTCACAAGGAAATGCGATTTTCAAACTAAATAAGGAATCACAGAACGTTCTTAATTCCTGATGAATTGGTTGAAGCGACTGTGGCAAAATTTAGGGAGGAAAGGAAATTGTTTTTGCATATAACACTAAGTTTCAGCCAAATTTGACAGCTATCCAGAGAGCAAAGATGCATTTCAGTTAACAGTTCAGTGCAAAATTGCCAAAAAATTAAAACTTGATATAGTTATGCATGTTGGTGAGTGATTTAATTGGGTCAGCCAAAATTTACCATCAGTTCGCAACATTCGGGCAGTCTGAGGTCGTTTGGTGACATGAACGCCTCGGGTAAGCTTTGTGGGCCTTATTGGCGAGGCAGAAGACGGTGTTAGAGTTGAGGTTCGACTGGACTTCAATGTGTCCTCTTGCAGATCGTCCACATCCTCCCTAACTCCTCTTCCATGGTTGGCAGTGATCGTTCCAGTGGACAACTGGGGGACCTGATGCGTCTTAGGGAAGAAGTGTTGACCCGTGGACGATGTGGGTGTCGTCTGGTTACGCTTCCCTACCTGGTCAGATGGCTGCAGGTCCGATGGTCTCGATGACAGAATGGAAGCTGCAGGGGGATCTCTTGAAAGTGGAGCTTTGTTAAGACTTTCCTGCTGTTTTACCTTTGTCTGTGGTAGACGAGAGACATTGATTTTGGGGTAACATAGGACAGAAGATCCTTCATTCTGAAATGCAACTTGGAGGGTGCTTTCAGACGAAATCTGAGAAGGCTTTCTCTGTGTTTCGACCGCGTATGCCTGTGAGTCCTGAATCGTGGGTGATACTATCTGAATTAGGCCCTTTTCAGGCCCATCAGAAACTGAGGTGGCTAAACTCTGCGTGCTGTTTGAAGAAGAGGTCTCGAAATCCTTCGTCACTTTAAAAGAAATTTTGTGATTTTTGGAGTTCGATGTCTTTTCCATTGTTGAAATTTCCTCTGTTGGCTTGGCCAGGCCATTTACCTTTACGGAGGTGGATGTTTCTCCACTTATCTCCTTAGTGTCCACTTGTTCTTGCAGCTGCACTTTCTTCGTCCCATTGACGTTGGAGTTGAAGTAAATGGCATGAGATTTCACTGATGGGATAGCCTTAATTTTGTTACTCTCAACAAAGTTCCTCCCACCTTGGGGGACTGTAGATGGCTGCACTTTAGCGACGGGTTTACCCACGGAAGTTGACAAAGTACACTTTTTCTCCCTAATATCACCTGGGGGCGCATTTGATATCGGCTGTGTTGCCGGGGTAACGGTGTCAGTAAATGAATCTAAAGTTTTACATTTTTCCTGCAAATCTTGAGTGTTAGACCCTCTCTTTACTGGGGTGGAATTCGTGCGGATTTTGTAGATGTCTTCTGGAAGCATATTTACGCTATTCTTCACTAGAGGAACAACTGTCAGTTGTATTGGCTCTCCAAAATCGCCAGAGCTATCAACGTCACGCGGAGGATACAGTCGACCACCTAGACTCCATTTCCTGTGCTGCAAGTAACTTCCAGTTCTGTTCACTGGTTGAATGAACTTGCCACCCTCCTTGATATTGATATGAAGTGCGGTGGGTAGCTCATCAAGACTGGAAATTCTTTTTTTAATTTCAACAGGATGGGGAGACAGAGGACTCTGAACACCATTAGCAATGTCCCGGTTCCTTCTAAACACCACAGAAGGTGGAGTCCTAACAGCCAACTTCATGGAGCTTCTTTCGAATGCGGGTGCAGTCTTGATGGCTGAATGCTTTCTTCTGCCTACAGGTGATTTTTTCTGAACTTTCTCTCCCTGCCCTTCAGCTCCATCTCTGTCCCACTGATGTCCAGGAGTTGGAGAGAGAGGAAGTTGCGCAACTGTTTTGGTTACCAGAGTCTTCTCATCTGGTGAAAGGTTTAGTTTACTTTCTTCGTCCTTCAAGGAGCTCCCGTCGTCCTGGAGGTCTGACCGAATTTGAGTTAAGGTAAGTTTACTGTTCACCTTGCCACTATCGCATTCATTAATACTGTTTTTACTGCTGCGGCTGGCAACGAAGGATTGACATCTAGCGATGCAGACAGGAGTCGATTGAGAAGATCGAGATGGACATTCATTCTGAGATTCTCGGCAAGGAAGCTTCTTGTTAATGGGTTCATAGAAACATTCACTCTCAACGAGCATACTGTCATCCGACTGCTGCAAATAGGTGTCAGATTCCAGATAAATCCCAGCAGAGGGACGAGTGGGATCAGAGTCATTGTGGTACAAGTAAGAGCTATCTCCGACGGAAGGCCGTTTCTCCACTTTTTTTTCGAACTCCTCACTAAAAGTGTGGAGAATTGTGAAAGGACTAGTGCTCTTGTTCTCCCAGTTGACGTGTTTCGGAGTTGAAACATTGAGGTTGGAGAAGACTGACACCACGGAGGTGCATTGCTGAGGGCTGTAACCGCTACCAGCCCATGATCGTGATGTGGTGGCTAATAAGGAAAGAAAATATGCTTCTTACTTATTCGTCAGAGCCTCTTGGGAGGCATTTTAGGCCGAATATTTAATTTGCGAGTGCGCTATGACAGTGGAAAGTGAAAATTACGCAAATTGAATTAAAATCCATAGTGCGCACTTTCCTCACCCCACTGAGCGAGCATGTGAACAAGAGAGTTCGTGCTTTCCTTTCGAAGTCAATATAGCTATGCAGTTAATTTGCCTCTTTGACGTGATCGTAAAAGTCGCATTGTGTTTACCCCTCATTGTCTCTGTGAGCTGCTTGCTGATGCGTACTAGAACCACTACAACTTGAAATTGGAGTCGAGTGATGTGCCAAGAAAGGGCTGTGAAGCCGCTTAACGTAAATACTTTACTGTCATCATCCTATCGTTCACTTTATGGGCACCAAATAAGCTTTGAATGCAATCATAGTAACTAGGAGGTTCGTCTCAAAACATTTTGAGTTTTAAAATTACTTTGTTAAAGGAGCTTTTCCATCATTCGTTTTGAAATTTATTGAAATCAGCACCTAAATCGAATAACCCTTCAAGCTATCTTAATTCCCTCCATTCCATAAGAAAGTGACCAAAACTACTGCAACGTAGACAAATGGGGTGGGTGGATGGCACGGATCGTGCATATTTTGGAGCAAATCCTGATCACATCCTTGACCTCTGACGCACAAACGCGTCTTCAACTGCATCACTGATCTGCAACGCATAATTATGATGCAAATAGGTGTGACTCACGCCAAGCGGCAGTCTCCACTCTTCCAACACGCATCACAATGAGGGGATTAGCGACCTCGTTAGAGGGTGGGATATGATTAGTCTCCTCGCAGGTCGTCTGAAGACATGTTGTATGCAGCGCCGTCTCAGAGGTCTGGAGAGAAACTGAAAGTACAGACCCATCATCAAAACAAAATACGTTATTACCAACCTCTCTTACTTACCGGTTTGCACACCTTCGTCACGTACTCTGTCCCTTCAAACAGAAGAAAGACAAGCTGGATTTGCTAAGCTCGCTAAGGCCTATTATTAGTTAGGATAAGTATTAGACAAATTTTACTTTCAACGGTTCGATGGAGAAGGGCAATGGGAACTCACAATGTACAGTGGGTTCGGTGACGATGGTGGTGTTGGAGGATTCCGAAGCGGAAACTTCTATCGAACGCATACTGACCACCTTCTGCTCAGGTTGCCTCTCTGCATGCGAGGCGCTTTGACGCCTAGATCGATGTTCATGCTGCAGGGTAAAATGCAGACAAAACTTCGGTGCCATTTGACCGACTAGGCTTCAAATTACTTTACTAAAATCTAGGTTAAAGCGCTAGAAATGACGCTGCCGCTCTGACGTGTAGGTTTAGTGGAAGATCCTACTATTCTCAAAATTTTATTGTGTTAAGGCGATAAACGGCGATTTCTCCATTAAGCCACCAACGCGGCTGAACTAATGCTGCTATAACACACCAAGCGCGCAAACACATTGACATCATAACCCGGATGTCACGCACGTAAACAGGTGATCAAATAGGTTAATTATAAAGCACTCAAATAAATAATTTTAAAGTTCTGGATCGAGACAGTTGTTGCCTGTAAAATTCCAGTTAATAGTTCGACTTTTGCCTCAACGAAGCCTTTATACATAGGTATTGCTGAACGCATATGAATAGTGCACGTTTTGACAAAATGTAATCAAAAACCTCCAATTGTAGGCATTAGTGATAAACCGGCATGACTAATGATGTACATCATCCTCAGATTAGGTCTTCTAATAGCACTCTTCTGTACTATCAACGAATATTTTTTAGTATTTACGATGAATAAATGGGTCTTACCGATGAAACAATCGCAGAAAGGTGACGTTTCCTTGCAGGACTAAAAACAAAAAAAATCGGTTTTAAAAAGTATTGCCATGGAATGAGGTAATACTAACTGCACTACTCATACAAATCACAATGCACAAAACAACGCTCCTGTCTGTAAGATACTCAGCCTCCTCCACTTTAGCCGCAGTGGCAGCAGAACCTACTACGTCTCCAACGATGAGCCAAGCGATGCATCACCCATGCGTCTGAAGGGACGCCGAACCTCGAGTTCGTGGTCTTAATACTACACTTTGTGTGACGGGAGAAGGGCGTCCACTGTAGATTTCGCGAATAGTAGAGAATCACAAATGAAAAAAATGTCCCCAAATCCATAAGTTAACTAGCAAGAAGTTGTAATAAAATATGAGCAAGTAGACGTGAATGAACTAAAGAAATGTTTGGTTATGGCCGCAGTCCCTCCAAGTCAAAAGGATTTGGCAGTAGCTCCGAAAATGAGGCTGAGTATCTTACAGACAGGAGCGTTGTTTTGTGCGTTGTGATTTGTATGATTCCAATTTTGCTATCTTGTACTTAAATTGAAAGGGTGGACACGACAACCACACTCAAACGAAGAAAGGACCAATGCAGTTAAGTTACTGTGGCCTACACCATTTACGATCGCATTGTAACCCTATTCACTCAACTACCCGTAAGCTCCAGCGATTGCAAAGATCCGTGGTTTCCTGAGTTGTGTCACCACCTCAAAGCATTACTCCTAAGTGAAATTTGTGAAACGAATCTTCTTGCGTTCCAAAACTTCTCCAATCCACAGCCGTGGGAAATCATACGAATTAATGAAAACAGGCTTGGGAGTATAAACTACCATTCTCCTCTATAATTGATGGGCAAATTGTCGGCTAAACTAAACTTACCCGCCTGATCTGCAGAAAACTTTCCTGAGTAGGCTACCCCCTTGTTGTGGTTGATTTGACAACCAAAAATCAAGCTTTACAAATAACATATAGAGGCGAAATTTGTCTAGCTTATGAATATTTTGTGTAAATCATGTATAAGGTAAACTCCAAGTTGGAATATCTGTTGGGAAAATAAAGACGAGTGGATTGAGCTCGCGAGGTGCTTGCAGAATGACCAATAGAGTGGTTGCCTTTACCAGTCGATTCAATTCCTCTTCTATTTCCCCACGACAATAAAGGGCGTTCCAACTCACTGTGTAACAGCTAGAGAAGCATAAAATTTAATGCCAACTTAATCTGCTCCCCAGTACTTTGAAAAAGTCAGAGACGGAGTGTTTGTGCTGATCCCTCGCGCTATCATTAGTGCCCATTTAGCCGCGTTCTATTTTACTTTCCCACAGAATGTAAAAAGGTTTATATTTACGACGAATGATACACGATTATTCCTCCACTTACTTATAATAGCCGGTCATTATTTTCTTCCCACACTAACAACCTAAATACACATCTTTCTAATAGGGCGAAAAACAGCTTGTAGCTATGAGAACTCTAATTATTGTAGCTCTAAACTCTACTTTTCAACATTCTTCTACACATTTCAAGTTGGCTGAGGCCAGAAGAAGACGTCAAAACCGAAATGGTAGCAGGAAATAGAAGAAATCGGAATGTTCTCACTTTTGGGATGACGCTGTCCCACTTCGTAGACGAATTCCATCTTTTTGTTTTCTCAAAATAGTGAAAGTAGCTTTTCAAGTGACCTCAGTGGGGGTGCAATCGTGGTGCAAACAATTCGATATCAGCATGAAGGCTTTCAGCAGATCTCCATGCAGTCTCTGCATCAAAGTAAAACCGCAATATTGGCGCACAACATTTATAAGCTTGCAGTGGGCACAGCACAGACGTAAAGTGTGACACATGACCATCCATTTTGAAAGCTGATGCGAGCAGAAAATTCCTCTCCGAGGCACACTTAGCAGCCACGAGTTGTGGTAAAAGTGCCAAGCAAAGTTTCTCCACATAAGTATGCCTGAAGAAGACTCAACAATTGAAAATGAATTTTGCCATTTATTCTCATGGGTTTGCTAGGTTAGAAAGTATGTTCGATATGGAACGCAGGATGAGGATATGGATGGTTTGTAAAGTTAAACAAGGTCAAATACTCTCTTCGAATTATTTCGTGAATGACACTTCCAAGACTGTGTGTTTCTGCGAGCTTATATTATGCCTCTTTTGCTTAGAAAGAGGCAGATCATTTGAGCGATTTTGTGCTGCGACAATTGTGAGCCGCCACAGTGGAGCGGCATCCATCCTCCCACCCCGTACGGCGCCAAATTCGTAACGAATGATGAATGCTTGTGCATTCATGCATGGCAGTGATTTGATCGAAATAGGAGCCTGAGAACCCACAGTCAAGTGTAGAAAGGAGGGGGTCTTATGAATTAAGGCAGAAAAACAAAAGACTCACTATACCCCATGCGAACTCACGTCATTCGGTTGAAAAATATGACGGGATGCTGTTTTTTAAACATCAAATAGTCAAAATAGGATCCCCTGTTCAGAGCCTTGGACCAAGAGAGTCCACACAAATCGAGAATGGAGCACTTGAAGGACTAAATCAACCGCCTTCATATCAAAGGCGGTTTGTTTTGGAAACCCAACTCGCCTTGGGTAACGGAATGCCAGTTCATGAACCTCTCTGACAAACGGAATGTGAAGGACTAAAACCTCTCCGCTCACCCAAGATCAGACTGTTAGAAAATTTACTAATCTGTTCAAATCCCGTTGAATGCGCCATTGTAGCTTATCCACTAGAAAGACGCCCAATGTTGTGCTTTTGGATGGATAAACAGCAAAATGGCGATACCATGACCTCATGACATATAAAGTAGTCTCGTCTCAACCTTCGCATGCTAGAAATTCTGTTTCAATTTCTTCAACACTGCCCAAATATGGCAATAATTCTGTGTAGCATCGAGTGGGCATGTCAATCCTCCTTCAATACATGTGCGAATACAGGTCCACTGATGCCTCTGCTTGAGCCTGGAAGAGGCCTCTGCGGGTTTTAACCTCAAGAGAAACCTTGACCGTCTCACCGTTGCCATGTTGATTAAAAAGTTGGAGCATTTTAAAGTACAGTGTGCAAAAATGTAGGAACCGGTCTAGTGGTCTTACAAATTTTCCACATGAACAATCTATCGCCCCTACCTGGAAGTCGTTTTGATTAACTACGGCACGTGTTACAGTGGGGTTGCAGCATTAATCACTTCATCATCAATCATCAATTGAATTGGCGGTTACACAGGAAGAGCAGAGCCAGGCCTGGTTGGAAGCAATTCATGTGAAACACGAGGTCCTCATAGCGGGAAAAAAAGATGATTATTGTAATTACGGTAAAAAGTAGCGCTCACACAGTAATGCACCATTTTTTAAACATGATGATGAGACTTCTACCGTCTAGTGGAGCTTAACCCCTTCCAAACCCAAAAAAGATTATTCAGAAGCAGAGTTGAGCGTGTTCCATGTCTGGCATGCCGAAAAGAAGTAAATCATTTTCGTTGAGGCATAAAGTGATGCAATAAAAATATACATAAATATTTGGGCAGCTGAGAAAAGGAGAAACCTACATGGAATTTTGGGGATCCTTTAGACCTTCGGACTCCTTTCGACGAAAAATCTTTTGGAACCATGAGGTGATTACCTGACCACTACGAGGCTGTAGATTTTGCGATCTAAACTGATAGGTAGTAGAGTGTCTGGGATGTCTTGCAATCTCCTCTGGCTCGTCTTCTACATGTTCTATGGAAGTGGATCGTGGAGATTCGATGGACGACGAGATGGTAGAAGAAGAAAGTCCGACATCCTGGAAACCACTCTCCGTGGTTATCATTGTCGATGTCGTTAGTGTTGCTGTTGCCATATTGGTAGTGCTGGAGGGATCAGTTAGGGAGGTCCTATCAACAGGAGTGTATTCTCTCCACCGAGGATGTTTCCACTCTTGAACTTCTGCGCTGTCGTAGCTCTTCGAGAACACCTGATCGTTCACAACTTCGTTCCGTGGAATGATGAAGATGGTACTAGTGACTTGTGCTGGTGTGCCCAATGAAGAAACCTTCCTGAGGTAATGGCGAAAACCGCTATCCTCGCTCACGCTCGAAGTCGAATCACTTGTCACACCTGCTGGTGCTAACACCGGTTCATATGGCATTGAGTGGCCTCTCAAGATCGTGAAGGCCTCCCTGAGTGTGTGCGTGTGCTGATGTGTGGGGGAGAATGCGTGTGCGTTGGTGTGACTCGCAGTCTCCGTCGTCAACGCCGTCGTCGGTGTCGTCATCGCAGTTGTCGTTATTGCTATGACCTCCCCCTCTTTCTTCTCCATTCGTCTTTTTCCTTCAGTCTGAGATTTTTGCTTCCTCCACTTTTCTGAATGCCAAATCTCGTATGGGATGGACGCAAGCAAGCCACTCAGCAGACGTGTTTGATGTGTCTATCTGATGGTGTGTGTCACTTATAAGTGTGACTATTGATCGAACTGCCTGCTGAAGAGAGAACAGATGCGCTCACTGTGCTTTGTGCACGCATGTGCTCGCGCTACCGTGTTTGTGCGTGCATGGGTGCGTGTGCACGTGAGCGCGGCAGTGCATCTACGTTCGCGCTGGCGCGTACGTGTGCGTGCGTGCCACAGAAATGCACCATTAAGCAGCCAGCACATCACCACGGACACGTAAGAAATAATCAATTAATTGACTGCTTTCGGATTGGCGCCTAGGCTGTGATGTTGCGAAATTGACCTCGGTCTGCAAATTATGCTAACAAGCCCAATTCGACAACAGGTTGGACGTAAAGCTAGCTTCCCTACATACTGTCATCACATCATCTATTTTAAGGTGTTTGAAAAGATATTACTTATGGCTTAGTTATTAAGCTTTAATGTCGTATTTATATTTACACCTGTAGTTCCGTAATTGTGGTAGATTTTTTTCGCGATTATAAGAAGCAGTGCAGGATTGATTGCACAACAAAGTGACTGATATCATGATGACCGATTACACATTGTTAGTTTGCATTTTTAGCCCTGGTTACCTTACGAGATGAGTAATGCTTGATTCAGAGGTGAATGAAAAAAAGAAGTAAGCCTCAGTCTGGCAAATCCAGGCAACAAACTCGGCAGGCAATTTCGGCGGACATCTCAAGTGGCATTCGTATGACTCCATTAGCATAGTAAGTTCGTATGAGGAAGCAAGCCCTCTCTAAAATCAACGTGATCCATTTATACAGCTGTGCCAGCAGGATTAACGGCCTCCAAAAGTTTTCCACTGAAATCTAAAGGCAAAGATTTGCAAAACTCGATCTTTTTAACTGACATGCTGGCACAAATAAGTCTCTTTCCAATTTTAAGCGCAGTTTCGCTCTCTCAAGGATGTTACAAGACACATCTGATCCTACATTCCTTGATTGCGGTTCTGCTTCTGCTTGTCACCAGCTTTTTAGACCCGTACTGTCATATGTTTAATTTATCCATGTTGTGGTTTCCAAATACAGTTTTTATTTCTCCAAAGGGAAAAAAGTTGCCTTTGCGAGTCAAAATATGACCTTGGGTGTCACTTAAAGAATGAAAAAAACAGGAACCAGTCTAAGAGAAAACTTGAAGGTCGATTAAGAAAGTAGGAAATTGCTGGTTGACTGTTTGCAAGGTCTCTTGATGCATGCGCGAATGTTAAGATTAGTTGTTGATTGCAACTCCAATTGACGTGTGAGGGTTCTCATAAATGCCGAGTAAGGCAAATATCCTCAAAATGACTAACTCCACCATCGGACGCACCTTTTCCTGTCGCCACAACTACTGAATCGGCATGCTTAGAGGGATGGCGCAAAGGCATGCCAGGGGTGAGCAATTCACCGCTCATACAGAAACTACAGTGACTTCATCGACGAAATTGATGTTAAGGACTCTCCGCAAATTGATGATTTCATATCATCATATGCGCATAGATGAAAGTTCGTTAGGGTACCCAAAATAAAATAATCATCAAAGCGTCACAAGGAGCCACCGAGTTAGGCGCAATATCAGGGTTAATGAGTGTGGGTAGAGTTGCACAGCAGTCAGAATTAAATTTGATGAAAAATAACTCGAAGGTTTGAATTTCACTTTTTGGTACTCATTGGTTCTGCATTGACACCGTTTTCCGTGACTTAAAGAATGGTCTCTTCTACTTTTCGCGCTTTTCAAAGGGCCTCAAATTCCTGATTCAATCTAATGTAGCGGCGGCAGAATATTAAGCTCTGCTTTTTATGACCTGTAAATATGTGCTGCTAAATCAAGAATGGGGTACTAGCAAGGGGTAGAGTTTGGTATCTAGAAGTTTATGGAACAAGGATAATCAAGGAAGCCAATTTTCGGAAGAAAAAAAGCACATTTATGATGCAGAACTAATTGGCTTTAAAAGTGGCTTTGAAGTGATTTACCCACCCAAACAAACTTGACCGTAGGCCATCTAACTCAAAGTAGTCAAATCCGTAAACCGAATATGGAATCGAAAACTACAACAAAAGACAAGAGATCTGACTCCTTAGATGGTACCCATTTTAGTGTTCTGATGGAACGCCCGGAACGTTTGTCATTAAAATGCCTTCTTTACAATGCCTCTTCCTTTTAAACTTAATAACCTATGCCACTTTGTTTGTATGACCACCTGATATCTGCCGGTTACTTTGGTATGCGTCTAGACTTTGTGCGCGTGGACAAACCTTCGTAAAAAGGCAAGGCTTAATCCATTCTTCTCCTTATAAAATTACGCTCAGCCCAACTTAATACCTTCTACCTGGTGAGAAGTCTCTATAAGCTGCAAAGTGTAGTAAGACCGGATCAAATCAATGCAAACACAAAATCAAACGAGCCTGACTGTGAGTTCCAAAGGCACGTGTCGTTCCATTCACCTAGGTTCATACTACGTGCTTAGATAAGCGGTGTGATGTATTACCTGCATGTTTGAACCTAGTGGATAGGAAGAGGATTTAAATGTGGTCCTAGGAGGTAGATGGGGCCCTAGGTACGGAAGCGATTAGTTACATTCCATTTGTACTCACAATGCACGATAAAGCTTTAAACGTTCCTGTACTTCTTATAAACAGCCTACCATGAGGAGAAATGGAGAAGTAAGTAAAAATGCTTAAAGCTACAACAAGGGTGAAAAAAATATTGCCTGAAGATGGGATTCAGCAACATAAATGCCCAACATAATTCCACAGTTGGACAAAAGCGAAGCTATGTAATGATTTTGTGGATAAAACCTTCACAATGGCATACATTTGTAGCCGCTTTGCTGCTAATCAGCAATTTTTTTCTTGCGACTCCAATCACTTTTAATGTGCAATAAAAATACCGAGTGCTTCAAAATCGCAAATACAACATTGACATTCAACTGGAGGATTCCTGGTTTCGGGGAAGTTCTCTTGTGAAGAAAGTGTTTTGTTAAAATACTGGTTGGAAATGAGGTGGATGCAGGGGCTACTACTAGTAGATTTGTCCCTTGTGTACGGCTTTCACGGCTTTTGAACACACCAGATTTCCCGTATTTCTTCAACAGTCCTGAGCTTTTTCAATATTTATTCCAACTAACTTTGTGCATGCAGGTTAGATGTCGGCACATAAAAAAGTGTTCGGGGTTTTTCTCCTACTAGAAAGCCTTTTGAACCGCAGATTCTGGTGTTGTATGCTGCATCCTTCTGAGTAAGACAATTTCCTCTAAAAGGAGGTCTTGCCAATAACAAGTTTGTGCGATTAAATTTTAAGAGGACCTGTATCGCTGTTCTTCCTTTTGCTCCTTGCATATACTTGCTTGCGTTTTCCCGTTGTATTTTAGATCCATTTTGAACGTCCGTATCATCGAGCTGCAGACCTCAGCGTCCATGCAGAAGCAAGGCTGAGATCGGGGTTTACGTTAAGGAACGGAATATCCGTCAAAGTCGATGCTTTTAATAGCGGCAGCGTTAGTTTACTAAAGTGCTATACGAACTGAATGTCATTTGTTGTGAAAAGTAACTATTGGTCGTTCCTGAGTTGATGACTTTTTTCAAGGGAAAGTCGCAATACTCCTTGCTCTATAGAGATCAGTTGTTTACATCAAGAGGTGTAACACAATTCAATGGTCGGTTGGAACATTTTTCAGCCAGATTGAATGGAACCTAAAACCAAAGTCCAGTCTTGATAGTTGCCCGATATGTTAGTACTTAATCAGTTAATTTGGACGTTGGCATTTAAATTTCGAGGGGTCTTTATGTCACGTAAAAATATGGACGCCTGATTGGTAAGTTGGAAGGAACTCTTAATAAATTCTTGTGCCGACCTTATGGTTAGTCGGAAGCTAATTTTGCCTTATTTGTTTGTTTGATAATTTAGAGCCGTACTAGAGCATTTTAGTGGATTTGCCAACACCTGTTCCAAATATGCACTATCAACAAAGTGGCTCTTCCGCCTAAGTGTATAATTTTGAAGAATGGTGCTGGTTGTTCTTTAGATGCTTTTTTGCCAATTTTTTAAAAAGGTAAGATAAAAACCAATTTTCTGCTTAGGTAACAATTTATTCTGCGGGAAATGGTAGATTTTGGTATTTTTGGCTCAAGCACGTAAATCATTTGACATGCATAACTTCGACGGTGTTGTGCAAGGTGACTTATTCGCTCAAGCTATGTTATCGCCTCCTATTACAGTTTGATATTAATTAAATAATCGCATTTCCACCAACTTGATGTGTCCAGACCATGTAGTTAAATAATATTGGATGTTTTCCTTGGGTCTGTATGCTTCTGTGGGTCTCGAAAACCGCACTACTTATAGTTCTATGTCTGCTTAATGCTGCGGAGGACTCCCAACGGAAGCATCATCGTTATTAGGAAGTAGATCAAGGGGAATGGCGCTCCGTGTAGCTTTTATTCTGATAGCCCTAGTGAACCTAAACACAACGATGGTAATGTTAAAATAACAGGCACAGAAACTGAATTGTTCGTGCAATTCTTAGTACAAACACTTCGATAATTTCTTGTGGCCTATGGGATGAATTCACTAAATGTACACTGTTGCATACAGCATGATATAAAGATGAACAGTTAGATAACCCTCCTTGGCTGAAATTGGAGTAAAATCGGCTACTTAAACGGCCTGTTTTCGCACATTTGTCTTATGGTCAGGCAAACTGACAACAGTCGGACCTACGCACACCCGTACAAGTCCAGATATGCAGCCATAAGAGGACTGAGACTAAACGTAGAAGCTTGGAGCACTTCTCGACTCATTGGCTTATTCTTAAATATATTTTTAGTGTGCAAAATCGTTTAGCAAACCGAAGTATAAAGGCAGTTCTTTTTAAATGAGGCGAGAATGTGGAAGGATAAAGTGTCACTGAATGGGATATTGAGAAGTTAAAGGATAACCATGTTGAGTGAGGTAGTTACATTTCTTAAGAGATAATTATGCAAGAGATCACCAATTGAAGAGGGTCAGCTTGCTTAGGCTCATTCATTGTTGCATTTTAGGGTTTCTGATAAAGCATCAGAATTCTCCACTCATGGTTACTTAGTAGTCGGATATCTGCGCTCTGTACCAAGCAGAAATTAAAGGGCCGCTGTGCAACCAGGATGGTGAATGAAAGGGTGAGGCCGATAGAAGGGTGTCAGCCCATTATCGGCGAATCAACTGTTCTCACTTTCTCTCGACATAGGTCGCAAATCATTGGATTCAACACCTTGAAGGGCGGACGATGGAGATGGAAGTAATTTACGAGACGGTGGCGCATCACTTAGCACCAATCCCTTCTCCAATACTCTTCCCTAACTTGAGATCGCACCTATCGCTCCGAACTTGACGGCATGTGTTTGGTCTATTTTCCTCTACCTCTTTCATCATTCTATCCAAGAGGTGCTAATACATTACGTGTGGGTATATCTCTTGTGCATCTAGCGAAGACGGGTTCTGTGCAGCAATGGTGGTAGTATATTTCATTAAAGGCAAACTATGGCAATGCTCGGGCCGAATGTATATTTTTTTTTGCTTAAATAGTGCTGATATGTTCCAGAAACGCTTCTTTCCCATAATGATGCGGAGAACAGGCCATCAAAGCATTGCATAACTTATCTCGTCTTCCACTTTCCGACCTCCGCCCTTGCTCCCCTCGATCAACCTCTAGTTGCGATCAACGATACAATCGATGTTTCTAGGAGAAGGTCCTGGGTTTTGTCTTATATGGGAAGTAAATTAGTCGTTTTGAAAGTTTACCAGTAGTGGTGGAAGTATTGGTGGGGGCATAACGTTAACTTCTGCTCGTCTTTTAGCCCTGCTTTCATCCCAAAACTGCTCACCTATATTGATGTAGTCGCCACCAAATTATTAGTAGAATCAAGGAGCATTGCGTGCCAACTTGATTGACATCCTTATGCAAGTACAATTAACATCACCACAGCAAACATTTCAGGTGGTTTACGGCTAGTGTAGCTACCATTTTTAATGACTTTCTTGTAGACTACGGGGCTGAGATAGTTGTCGAGGGCATACATCACTACCAGCCCTTCTGTTGAAGAGCATCACGGATTTTCTCATATGCAGCATATGCTTTTCAGTCACACTAAGGTTTATTACTCTGTATTGGGAATTGGGGTGGTTTTCTTTTTGTTTTATGCTGCCTCCATTGTTGGGCAGAAGCGAGAAGAGCATAGCGATCGGATCACTCGGCTGAAGTGCAGTGGCAGAGCCATACAACTAAATAATTGCTTGGAATGGAACCCTAGTGGACTTCAGCTGCTCTTCACCTTCAGGTATAACATTGATTTCATGAATCTGAACCATTCTAGGGTTTCAGACATTTTTCTCCTGATACAACATGAGTCCGTGACTCTGGAGACTTTTGTTCAAAGTATCATCTAATTTTCCAGGTCATTCGATCTTACCGTTATCGGGTTTTACAATAATTACTATACTTCAGTCAAAGGTGTTTCCTTCACCAAATTCTGCAGTGTGGATCTTTCATTCCATACTCACGTACATGCCCGTTTGTGCAAAAATGAAGATGGATGTCCTCACTCTCACCGTATTACACTTAATTTTGTTTCCTTCAGGGGTTTTTTCGTTTGGTAGAATGAAGTTGTGACAATTATACTAATTGTTTCCTCTCAATTGATAAAGTTGTGGTCAGATAACGAACATTTTCCTATTACTTTGGAGACCATGAACTGAACGTGCAGACGTTTACACAACTTGGCTTTTATCGAAATGGGGCAACAAAAGCTTGAGTGTTGGATAGCACGACTGCATTAAGAAGGACGATTTCAGTCGAACTTATGGCCTTAATGCCTGAATTTTCTTTAAACACTCGTCAGAAAATAGCTTTTTCAGCAGTTTTACGATAAATTACGCTAGGCATTCTAAGTACTGCTCTCCTCATTATGTTTCGGACTTGTTTGCACGGAATAGAAGCAAATTCTCTGGTGTGGCACCAAGACTCATTCTAACATTGCATCACAACAAAATCATGGCTGTATCGCGATGATCGAGACCATGATTATGCGTACGATAGCTGAAAAATACGGAGGTTTTGTTATAAACACTCTTGTCCCAAATACAGCACTGTTGTCATTTCCGACTTCAAGAGTATCGTTTTACTCCGCTTTTTCCTCCCTTTTCCCACTAACAAACTTTTTGTCCTCTCCTTAGATCACAACCTTCCCATATTGGTGCTATCGTCTATGCTGATGTCTGGACTGCTACGCAATTTTACGCTGCTTGTTAGGTACTTGCCCAAGTAAGGCACTTACTCTACTTCCTGCTGATGGATATGAAAATAAGATTCTACTAATTCATCGTCGCTACCGCGTTTATGAATTTGACGACAAACCAATACTTGCCATTAAAGCCTACACAATCTGTTGAGGCGCCTCTTCCACTGATGTGCCTTCCTTAGTCCGTTTGCTGTTTTGGCGCCCTTCGACAATCTTCATAACATAATCAACTACAACATGACCACCAATCAGGGTTTTAAAGTCGTGATTTAACACGTTCTTGAAGGTGTGTATGACCATCATCATTTCTGCATTTAAACCTACAATTCGTTTGTACCTTCAGTCTCATGATTTTCAACTGACTTCCAGAGCAAGTCGCGAATAGCTTGACTCGACAGAACTTGAGTATTCCAGTAAATAAGATTACTGCTAAGAGTAGGTAAAGTTCAAACATCTACGTCTACTCATATCTGGCATTGAAAAATGTCCGTGGTAATAGAAGAGCAAAAAAATAAGGCGTCACCTAGAACCAGAGTAGCTACTAAGTTGGCTATAATCGCTTGACCTTTCAAAAAACTTTCAAAACTGTCACTCGTGATCTTGTACTAGGAATTAAGCATTCGTTCCGACGATTATGGGCCAAGTTTGTTGTTAACGTGTACTGTTTTGCGAAATGAATTTCATTCTAGTTCATATGGGCAAGTGAAACTGGCACTACTCTACTACCATCGTGTCAGTAAGGTTTTATTACTTCTTTCAACTGAAACGACATCTCTCTGGAGGCTATTACAAGCTACGCGTCTTTCCAATAATGCATCCACTTACTGATAGTGCGAACAATTATGCTATAAACCACATGACCGTCTGGATCATGCAAACACGGGGAAAAATACCGGAGGTAAGAACGATTGAGGCCTTGACTTCATGACTAACGCTCGACCAAGCCCAATCAGTACTCCAACACTACAGACTCCTCTTGAACTATCACTGAAAATCTGTAACAAACCTCCCCCCTTCCTCTTCCCTCCGCACGCTGCCTAGCAGCACTGTAAACATTTTAAATAATCTATAGCTCCAGTACTGTATATGTCACTTAAATTCTTTTTTGCCAACCTATCAATAAATTGAGATGCAGAGAAAAAATAACTGCCAAACAAAAGACTAGAAGGCATGTAGTTATGGTACATGTATGTTGAAAACACGTGAAGGAAGGTTGAATAATGGCTCGAAAGACCTAGGATAAAATTAGTATATTAGAAATCAATGGTCATGATGAGATGAGATTCCGGCATTGGAAATGAGGTAGAGCAGGACACGAGACATCTCTCTACGACATTCGAACTCATCCGGAGGATCAATCAGATCCCAAGCTTCGGTACTGCGTGGACACGGTTCACGACAGAGGGGGCATTGTTGCCGATTCTTTAGCGCGGGTGGACACGAATACCGCCTCGTAGTGAAGGAGTCGTGGCGTTCTGGAGGTAGCTTGAAAGAAGCTTTCAGCCTGAAAGAACATCAAAAGTTCATCTAATCCGCATCGGAAAGACCCAATATACTAGTTACTAACTCACCATTCGTCAATACATCTCCGACAGAAATTGTGACCGCAAGGTAAAATTGCGGAAGGAGGGGCGTCACAACACAGAAGGCATGCTTCATCAAGGAGAGATCCAGAGTTCCTGCCTGGCGTTTTAGTGGGGATCTGACTATAATGCTTAATTTCCTGATAGAGGGCATGAAATTGGCGAAGGGTCAAAACTCTATGAGACAGTGCAAACTCACTACCAGCGCGAGCCTAGAAGAACAGTTCATTAGAACCCGAATTTTACGATGGTGCAGTGAATGGTCAACGTCAGCTTCCAAAAAATATTCAGGAAATTGGTGGGTGAGCATTTAAATTGGATGATGAAACCATCGTTTTCATACAACTCCCTAACTCTAAGTGAAGAGTTCTATGAAAAACGATCACATACATTTTATTTGCATCTGAAACCATTTCTTCAACAGCAGGAAGTGAGAGGGAGTTAATCCTGTTTTCAATATAAACCGTCTTTTTAAGGGAGTCCTTAGTATCTTGGACTATTTCCGCAGCTGTGCAGCTCACATTATAAGTAAAATCTAAAAAATGATTTACAAGCCCTTAATACCGTCTAGTACATCCATCACTACCTCACTAGAGTTGCAACCTAAAAGGAATAACAACACTTTCAAATTTACAGTCAAAAACGATGCAAATAGCCGTTATTTGCACCTTATCCCTGCCAGAAATAAGCCCGATGCCCTCAATAAGTACTATGAATCTCGATACACACTTTTGAGCACTCATAGAAAAGAAAACCTCCACGAGAGAAAATGAGTACACCTATTAATAAGGAGCAGGGATCGAGATTCATACAATCGACCCTGGTTCTGCAATCCCAGACCGTAGCATAGTCAAATAGGTCCGCAAACATGAATACTATGCTAAATACTAACTATCAAGTCCAATGAATACCCAGAAATACAACTCACCCCTCTATGCCAGCTTCACAAGTGTGCCCATTTGATCTACTAATTTAAACAAATTACTACGTAATATCTTAGCTAGTCCAAATCAGCAAACTTTTGCCGAATATAGTTATTTGGTTTTAAAAAGTGATCAAGAAAGTCAATGATGGTTTAGCGTGTATGGCCAAAGCTACCAACGGATGTCAAATCATTAAACTAATGATTGTACTAAGGACTCACCAAGCCATGTCCTGGGAACTAGTGCAATGATCACAAGCCAAGAGTGCCGTAAACTCCACAATGATGTACATGTGCCAGCTGGAAAATCACAGAGAGCCGAGATACTCACATCTGCAGATCAAACAGCTAAGCCTAACCCAACCCCGCCGTCAGTTTTGAATGATTCAAAACCCAGACATTGAATGACGACTAAAGATGAAGACATTTAATTACAGACTTTTTACATAGCGATCAACTGTTGATAAAAAGCTTATTAACTGACGCATGATACTTCTCCGGTAGCTTCCTCAAAGCGGTCTCTCGAACCAATCTAAAAAAAAACAACTTCGGATAGTTCTTTGTAACAAATGTGGCACTACCACCATCAAACCTGTGGATTAGTACCAAAGGTTGAATTAAACAGTTAAAAACGTAAACACACTCAGCTTCGGCGCTCTTTCCCGCAGACATGAGAAGTTGTATATAGTTGATGTAGATTAGTCTCTTATGGGGATGGGCCGCAAGCTGCTCCTCGATCAGCTTTATCGCGCGATCTACATCACCAAACTCAAACTCCAATCGGGCACATCTGTAGGGGAAAGCAAATTCGGAAATCATTTCCAAACAAACTCCATTCTCTTCTCACAATAGTGGAGTCTATGCCACCTCTGTAAAACTATTAAATAGTGGAGCTAATGCGATCAGCAACAATTGGAAGGCATGGGAGTAGTCGGTAAAATCACAATCAAAACCACAATTTTGAGTACTCAATTGTACAGAATAACAGCCCTCAACACTTTTCAGGGACTAGGAGGGAAAAATCTGAGATGAGCAGCGTATTCGTTAACACCTAAAAACAACCTATCAACAATGAATCAGTGGTGCAAACCCCATCTGAAACACGAGTGAGCAACTAAGACACTTGTCTAGAGAAAAAATCCAAGGAACAGGTGACTTACCCTGTAGCGAATTGAAGGAGTTGTGAAAGACGCAAAGTTTGACCAGCATTACGCTGAGCCTCTCGAGCACCAGCCACGTTGCCAGAACGAAAACGGGCACGAACCAGGGTTAGCCAGGCCTCAGGCAAAGCAGAGTGGTGACGCACAAACTTCTTCGCCATATTCTCGGCATACTAGTAGAGAAAGGGATTTATTTACCAATTGTGGCTCTGCAGTTCAACACTTCCTTAAAATTCCTTGAGACCTCTGTGAATAAAGTAGGATTGCCCAGGAATGCAACTACCCCTTTTGAGTAGAAAAGCTGAAAAGTTTCCAAATGAAAGCCAAAAATGCAAAAAAAATAGGGACGCGAATATTCTATACATCTCCACATAGGCAAATTCACATTAACCCACAAATCATTCCCAACTCGAAGTAGATGAAAACTAGAGACCCACAGAATGCAGCCCAGCGGTGGAGAGATCGGAGATAGCACGACGGGTGACGACCTCACGATCTAATTGTTCGATGCGCGCAATAACGGCATCGAGAAGAGGTGCGGCGGGAGCGGAACCAACTCGCCGCTCTACGCCCACAGATGCAGCAGCGACAACAGAGCTTTCCAAACGCAAGGAAGAAATAAGGATACTACCCGTGAACCCATCTGCGCCGTCAATATTGGAGGAGGGTGAGTCGAGAGCGCGTTGGAGGACGGTACGGGCTCGGTCTATATCACCCGCTGCCTGGTGATGCGCAGCATAAAGAGTCCAGAGATGTGGATTCTGTGGAGAATTGCGAATTGCTACCTCATACTCCTCCACGGAGGAGATGCGCGGGAGCGGATGTCCAGCCTCGCCCGACAGCATTGTTGCCTCAGCTACTTTCGCTAGTCGCGACTCATTCTCCAGACTTGTTAAGAGGGAGCACGACGCACTAGTGACCGGTTCTTCAAGGTATGAAGCAATCACCAGAATATTACTTGATGTCCGAAGTTTGGGAAGCTCGGCATGTCATTCATATCAGGGTGTAGTTAATAATAAATTTGAAAGCTAGATTCGTTCATGAATATTTCATGGTATCAATTAAGCTTCACACGACGTTCAATGATAAGTGATTTCACGACACTAAATAGGTTCATTTTTTACGCACGAATTAATTATCTTAGATTGCATAAAAGGTGTAGAAACGAATGTTGAATGAAACAATGACTAAGGTGAAAAATACTTGAGTATAAACGAACCCTGACACAATTCCTTCATTTCAATGCCCTTGTTCTCATTCTGTAGCGAATGCTGCTCCTCCTCTGCGGGTAAAGGAGAGAAGAAGTCGGCATAGCGACCCCGAACATCCCCGATTGTGGGCCCAATGGAGCTACAGGTGCGAGCATTGAGGGACACCATACGCCTGCGCTTGGGTTCTGGCGCTTCGTCTGGTTTCGCCAGCGTGTCGCTCGTAGACGCAGACCGCTGGCGAACTGGCTCATTGGCAAGGCGACCTCGCAGAGGTTTCAGTCTATAAGGAGTGACGAAACGCTAATTACTAGCTCGTTCATCCAGTGCAGCGTCAGAAACTTCAGAATTTTTGCGACATGGGTTTCACGTGCACGCATTAGAAAACACAAACGCATGCATAAGTCTGTCACTCTTATGCATCCTTCTCTTTACGCGTCTCCTCACATTTTTAACCAACTCCCGTAGCCTTAAATATCAACGAATCCTGGCAACCTCTAAGAGAGTGGTAGGAGGCCTCCACTACGAGAGAGCCCCCAGTCCAAGTTTGAGCTGGTCGTTTGGAAAAAGCGCGGTGACAAGGTTTGCCACTCAGGAGTGGAAGTCCGAAGGTGGATCGAATGATCGAATGATCTCGGAATTTGCGCTCCACTGGGAGCTCTCAATAACGTTTAGCGTGAACGCCGACGAAACATTTTGTTTGCAACTGCAGTGCAAAAGTGGCAAACGTGGAAGATAATAAGGAATTATTTACTGCCCACCCCAACAACCAGAGTATACTAAACAAGCTTAAAAGTTCTCAATTTCTCTTCATGTACACCTTGGATGTGTTCATTAAAAGACCAGTTACCTAAGTCATACCTAATGAAATATGCTCCACTTTCTCCGAAAGACAATGCTTGCCTTGTGCTTGTGCATGTGATGAAGTGAACATGGAGTTGCTTGCCTACTGATAACCGAACAATTACGACTTTGATCTACCAATTCTGTCCACTACTGCCACCAATTGCGAGAAAATCATGCTTCGAGAAACAACCCGAAGTAGTTAATCATTAGGCTCAACGATCTCAAAATAGAAAGAAGTCAGGGCGTGGCGAATCAACATTATGCACGGTACTAGCAATTGCAATAAGCCACAAAATGTGCTTTCTTGAAGTTGGCATTTTAAATAAACACCGCTTTTGAATTCCCTGTAAAAGTGCAGTTGCGTTAAAGGTAGTCAAAAAATGTTGAGGGTGCCTTGCATAAGGTGTGGAGGTCAATAAATTGAGTAAATGCCCACAGCTTGGAAAAAACTGAAAACTTACGACGTGAGAATTATTTGAACCATCGACCCCACTCGCTGGCTGGATCTCAGAAACGCACTAGAGTAGGGTACAACAGCATCAGTCTTGTAGTTGAGGCTGCAAAAGTGGTCAAAGTAAAGGATATTAGTCGATTTGTGAATCCATTTTCAAAATGTACTCAACAAAGGCAGCATGATGGGAATATCAGAAAAGTGCAGAAAGTTGTTGATAAAAATAACGTCCGCCAAATGTTCCCGAAAGAATGTATTAAAAGTTTAGCTAAACCACTTTATCTTACTGTACAATTCAATCATAACCACTAAAGACCATCTTGAACAATTCACATCGAACCTGACAAGTAGGATCTTCTTGAGTCGATGCTTTATAAATCCCAGCATCGGTATGCCCAACTTCAAATCTAATTCCTGATACTTCTCAGGATTCCAGTTGCGCCTAAGAGGAGAAACGAGTTAGTGGAGTGTTACGAGAACAAAGGATCGAATACAAAAAAAAGAACAGCATTGCTTACAGATCAGAAGCCTCAGTGGAGACATAAAAAACCTTCAAAGGCGCCTTATAATGCACATCTTCGTCATCCTCAACCGGTACAATTTCGTCCCCTTCAGCGATTTTAGGTTTAGTCTTGCCTTCTGCCTTCACCTCTGCCTCGTCATCCGCTGCCTCCGCCACTATTCCCTGATCGTGTACCACGTCGATGATGCGACACGTGAGCCAGATACTATTTTTAGGGTGGAGAGGGAACTGCATAGAGGGAGTATTGGGGAGACTGGATGCTCCAACGATGTGGGACTTGGACATGCAGGAAAAATGGAGTAAACCACGCGTGTTGTTAGCCAAAAGAAGACGCCAGCTTAGGCCTGAAGCGCCTAAGAACATGGCGCACACCAGATCACCCAATTCCGGGTCCTTCTCTATTGAATGGATGATGAAAAGGCAAATATGAGAGGGAACATCACTTGGCTAGTGATGATTAAAGAAAAGTGATTCATGTTATGCGGCTTTCTGTACCTTTTCTTTATTCGTTTAGGTCTCCCAAAAACTGCATAATCGAGGTAATAATTTATGGATGGGGATTGATTACACGTCAATTTTAAGCCTATCTAACAAATATTTGAGCAAAAATGAAGTAAAGCATAGGCTCAACCTGCCGATAACCATAGTTTACCCAAAATCGTACGGATCACTAATTACCACTAATGATAGCAATATCGACGACCCATTTACAGAACCGGTACACAAAGCGACGAACAAATCCGGGACTTACGAACAAAAGAAATTCGCGCAACACGACGGGAGAGTGGCAGTCTTGCACCGCCCTTCCCTTCCAGCGTCATGGTGGAGGGTGCATTGACCACGATGGCGTTTCGAAAGATAGTACCACAGGCAGGTGGAGAATGGAGAAATTTACGAGCCGCCTTTCCTGTTGGCACAAGGTCGACGAGACGGCAGATAAGACGTGCGCGTATCTCTCGCGAGTTCCGTGTGTGTGGAAGTCGGAAAAGAGCAGCGCGTCCTTTTAATCCGATGAAAACAACCTCAGATAGATGAGTGTTTGGTATTATTAACTGTTCCAACAATACTGGCGATAACGACATGGTTCCCGCATCCATAGTTACTCCTCCCACAGCTGTTTGCCTCGACTTTCTCCTAAGAGGGTCGTAAATCGACAAGGTTGCGAAGAAGACCTTGTTGTTTGCATTTGTCCTGTGAGAAGTCACCTCACTAAAGCGGTTAAAGTAACAATTTTAAGGACATACATATTCGTGTGAGTTTTCCTAATCTACTTTCATTCAGTTATGGGGTTTACCACATGCAATCATGCACAGCTTATCATGATTATCTTTCCAATCACTGTACACAGACAATGTATGCTTTCAGACTCCTGGACAAATGATTTTGGATACAAATTTTCAACGCAACTTATAGACGGTAATAGACCTATCGATGTGGAACACCAAAATACATTAATTCGGCAGGGGATCGGTAAAAACAAATCGAGTCACGGAACAGTGACAATTACAAATCGTTGCAACTGTCGAATCATAAGCAATAGAATACGAATGAGTAATTGAAGGAGGCAAATCATTTTCCATTAAAACGAGAAATAAAAAGCCGAAACGCGAGGACTCACCTACGAACAGTGACTCGGTTGACTTGACTTAGAGCCCAGGCATTGCCTCCGATGAGGTCGTTGAAGAACCGGCGCGCCGGCAATACCGCCAGATGACCAAGTGCTTGCTGTTTAAGAGCAACCACAACTACGTCACGCCCGTTGCCCAAGGAGACGACGCTAGATTCGATGCTCTGGCCGGGACGCACCTGCAAGCAGACATTTAATGTCTGACTAGTAGCCCTCCACAATAGAATGCTGATGCATGCTGAGAGCATTAGATTTTAAAATAATGTAGAAAGCAGTGAGAGTGACACTACTAAATCGAAGGGAAAACATTACTGGTCAACTTAGGCAAAATCATGTAAAACATGAGCGGTGATGTCCAGCTTACCGAAGTATTTCAATGAATGCCTCAAAGGTAAATCCACTTGGACGATACCAAGCATAGCAGGAAGCCATTACCAAAAAACGGTGTTTTTAGAAGAGATTCAAACAAGTCGGGAACAAGAAAGCTTGTGAATAGGTGGATATTATTATTCTCTACCAGCTTAGCAGCATCTTGACAAAGGCCTTGTAGACCAGTTAATTAGTGACGTGAATAGCGTATGTTCACACTTACCGTTATGTTAATGGACGTATTTTGTAATAATGCCAATGAAACCACAAAACAGTTGAAACGTTCGGATTTAATCAGTTACATACATATTTTTCTATGTTGAAAGCAACCGGTCTTAAGAACAGTATCTACATAGACAGGAAAAGATATTAGGATTCCCAAAGGAAAATTCGCCCGTAAAACGAAAAGTAAAAATGAGTTGAAAACTAATGCCAAGAGCGCTTGAAATCAGAACCTAAGTCACAGATGGGAAAAATATAAAAAAAACTGGAATAATAGGCGAACCTGCATGGCATCAGCAGCAAATTGGCCATCGGTGCGTTGCCTGACAGCACGCAGGAGCCATGGGAGAAGAGATACCTCAAGACACCCGGATTCAAGGTTGGGAAGAGTAACGACAGCAGGGTAAACACCACCTACTACGCACTCTACTCCTTCTGTGTTGGAAAGGAGAGCAGCAGCCGGCACTCTATCGCCGTCACCACCTGCCACCGCAGACACCCTTCCCGTCACAGCCTCCTCGGTTATACCATCCACTTGCAGATGTACCACTTCGCCCAAAGCGAAGTTCGACATTTTGCTGAAGTCTTTCACTATAAGGAAAAATCGCTTATATGAATCACACATTTACCAAAAGTGTTATCCAATCCTCAGTGGTTGGAATTGTTCTCTATAAAATTCACGACTATCATTTTAGCCTCATTATTGAGTTCATAACAGTGCTGTTTTCAGAATTTGTGGTGTTTTAAGCACTATAGCACTATACAATTCAGAAATGGGTTTCGATTAATTCAAATCCAGGATCACCAAAACCTTCAGAGAGGCACTTATCTACGGAAGGGTTAGACAAGACTTACTTTCTTATTAGAAACAGCAAAGCCACGTTTAAAGGAAAAGGGCGGCGGAGTACGACCAACGCCGCATTGTTTGATAGGCTTGCGGAGAGCTGTTGGCGAACATTAATTTCCAATGGCACAGATTTAAATGTATTTCTAGATTTCGAACTAAAATTTACGGTAACCGCAAAATTAGTGAAGTAGTACCGGGATTTCACTTTAATTATCATAAAATGCGGAAAGGTTGGTTGAACGTAATCTGCTCAATAATTTTAACTCAACCCGCAGTCATTTGGAGTAAACAACCTGAGTAATAACGTGGTCATGTTTTTCTGACCAGAAGACTTTGCGCGTTAAAAGAAAACCACATCTCAGCAATGTTGCTAAGAAGGCAACGATCACATAATTGAGCTGAGTTAAGGATCGCAAAAGCAGACTGCAAAAATTAACTGCAATGGAAATAATTTTCAGTCATTTAGATTCGATTATAACTGGAAATAGGGATCGTTGCTTCTTTTAAACGAAAGTGAGGACGTTACCACTTTCTAAGGTTCGTTTTGATCAAATACGTTCCGCTTACCATAAGTTGTAAAGGTGTAACTTTTCGTTAAATGCTGGCAGAAAAATTAAGGAGATAGAGATAACGGTGTTGCCCTTTAGAAGGCATCTGAATAAGTGAACTGAATATATGGAACAAAGAAATTAGTAGGATGAGTTTCGCAGACCATATCAAACAACTTACGTCAGCATATCTGCTCTGAAAAGGTAAGTTAGAGGAAAATAAAAAGTTGCACAAAAATACTACTAACAATTTCTCCCAAAAGATCCTTTGAGAACCTGTCAATTTCACATTAAAATCAAAGGTTCTGCCAACGCAATAACGCAAAACCTCACCCTCAAAGAGAACTTTACAGTACAGAGGAGGGACAACAAAAACCGTTTTACAAAATGGGACAGCTGAAAAGTTGGTCAAAGGTGCACTCAATGACCAAAAGTTCCCAATTCCAATTCCTCAGCAAAACGACTTGGAATTGCGACAACGTGGAAAAACTTTAGAAATGAGTGGGATGAGATAAACCCATACCATGCGAACATATCCATCGACATTCATCAAGATATCGGCGAGTTTGAGCAATTGCCCCTTCAACATACTGCTCCTCGGCAGAAGTGTAGGTGTCCATCAGGCGAAGGGAGAGGAGGAAGCGTTGTTGCTGCGCGCTTACCTCTACCACTTTGGCTTCCACTGTGGCTCCAGTAGGTAGGAGCAGGGGCCACGTAATATCGCGCTGCGCCCGACGGTCCGAGATGTAGCGGGTGGGCACCAGACCCCGTAGTCCACCAGGAAACTCTACGAACACACCGTAGTCCTTGTGATGCGCAACCCAACCTAACCACTGGCTGCCAACCTGAAAAATTTTAAAGGGGGTTTAACCTCATGTGGCTCTTTTGAATTCGCGAATGATCTTTGATAGTTGCATTGGATCGGAAAATAAATTCATGGTATAGCAGCATTCAGTGGTAGTTGTATGCATTGTGAAACGACAATCTCTGCTTTAATGCTGAGCAAATAATGCTCATAAATACATAGGGCAGTCAATTTTTGTGGTTAGAGGCTGGCAAGCATTTTCATCAAGTCTAATGGAAAACAAATAAAGGCTTGCACGGACAAAATGAATTCCTTTTTGATAAAATTAGAAGAGTTTTGCAATTTGCTGCGCCCCTGGACATCCAGATTGTGAATAATATAGGTTGATGACCACGTGTTATTATTACACAATTAGTTTCACAAGTGCTGACAAGTCCAAATAGAGACGATATACAGTTTTATAATACAGAGCACCACTATTCCATCACTGAAGTGGATGAATTTGGAAAACAACAAAATCCGTACAAATCAAAAAATGGCAAAGACAAAAAACTATAAATATTTTGCCACTTACTACAAGCTGTTCAAAACTGCGGACAAAACCACTCTTGGACCCCATCTTGTGACCAGCTGCAGCCGCAACGAGCGATGGTTTAGCTGAAACCATCACCTCCGCTGCGGTTAGACCAATCACAACGATTGGTGTTGGTGTAGAGGAGGAGCTATCAGCATTGATGGAGAGCATTACGTTGGGCTGGAAGCAGGCCAGCCGCCATTGTCGTGCTAGTTGGGTGATGGAGATGCTGTCGGAGAGGTGAGAGAAGGGTAGCGTGGCCTTAGATACCACTGCCGCGTCTGCAGCACTGGTGGGACAGAGAGAAACTAGCAAACTGCCAGACGTCACCGCGTCCACTCTACAGTAGTAGACCTCTCCTATGGAGACCGCTGTGTTCGCTGGAGGGAGTGGACGCCGGACCTCTGTCGGATCAAGCTAGACGGTAGGAGAAAACAGGTTCAGTCAGATCAAAACAAATTCTGTTTACTTACAATTTGTGAGAGGAGAAATTGCATAGAAGGTTTGTCTGGGCTTCGAGAGTCCTGTTTAAAACGCTTTATGACGCGAAGAAGAAGAGTTTCACCCTTGCTAAAAAAAGTCTCTACAGATTGTCGATCATCAACGAAAGTCTGGCGGCGAGGAATCCAACCACGGACATCGTTCATGCCACGAACAAGCACTCCCTTCTCGCTGGAGTGAACCACAAATGCGGTCACGAGGAGGTGCTTGACTCTCGTCTGTTCGATACTTTCCACTTCTTCCCAAGCTTTAACCATTTTAGAACTGCCCAGGATGGGTACGCTGGAGGACATAAGGCTCTTTTTGGCCGTTAGCTGTAGCTCCTCCTTTTCTCGATCAATCCCAAGAACCTAAAACGAAACGCCAAAAAAAAAACAATACAATGCAAGAGACAGAAATGAAAGGGCAAGTAAGCAGGTATATCACTCACAAACGTCGTGATTTTGCTTCCAACTTTGAACCGATCTTGCGGTTCTTTAACTGGTGCATCCGAAAGGTGCATGAAAGGAATGATACCACGAATTTTCCCAGCCAAACGAACCAGAACACCTCGTTTTGAGAACTTCCTTACGGTAACCTAGAAAATGAATTTTTCGAAAAGCGTCCTACTGTGACGGTAGTACCCACGGTAACATCACCGAAGGCTAGAAATCTGGATTCAAGCACATGACTAGAAAGGTTAATCATGAAGTAGTAATAAATTTACCGTCTGCACGAAATTACAGGCATATTTAAAAAGAGATCAAAGTCAACTATACGGCACCTTATGGGCGTGTTTTCTGGAATTTGTAAGGTCCAATTTTTGGCGGGTGCCAGGTCAAATGCATTTTCTTTCTAATAAAGAACCAGATGAAAATACCACGCATTTGTCTACCAGGAGGATACCGCATTTCTGCAGGGACGGCAGCCATAAGTAGGCATAATTTCTCTCAAGACGTTTTAGAACAGCATCATCATATATAGTCCCAACTTTGACGTGCTTGAAATCGAAAAGCTTTTGGCGATCACCGGGATCCACTTTAACAAAGTGAGGTAACATGCTGGCTACTATTGCTTTTGTGAGATGATCCACGGACACAATGCAGACAATAACCTAAACAGTGAGTAAAAGTTGAATACGGCTATTTTGAACAAAATTTCAAGAAATTTATGCTAACCTGGCTATTAATTGCGTAATGGTCTAATTCGAGGGGACAGTGCTGTGCCGGTACGTAAACCTCAAAAGATTGAAAATCGCATCCCATGCCATCCAGACCTTTTGAACGAATTCTGACAGGGATACACACTCCAGGGAGGAGACAATCGAATGAAAGAATAGAATCACTTGGGACCTATATAATAAGAGATGATGAGGAATCTCACCTTTTGCTTCTTCAACATAGTGGCACGAACAACTCTCGCGACATTACCAAATAATGATTCCTTCATTATTGAGAACTCGACCAGGCTTCCGATTGAAAATCTTTCAGACGCTAAGAAGATGTTATGACCATCGACGAAGCTACCTCGCAGAGGAGTATTAGTAAAAGGGAGGAAAACACTAAGACCAAGGATACCCGCGTCGATTATATAACCATTGTCCTCAATGCTACTAACCGCGCCAACAAGGGGGATAAATGGTTCCAGTAGACTCTTTCTTACATTCCGATTCACGCGACTTGGATTTAAAGAGAGTTCAAGAACACGTCTTTTCAGACTGCCAAAGTTTTCTGGCGCTTTTTCTCCTTCTTTAAGACAGCATCGAACAATTTGGCCAACAGAAAACATTTCATGTAATTTTTTTACTCCCACCTAGGTAAAGAAATGAAGTAAGTATCAAGAGGAATACATTGACATCCCCAGAGAGTAGTTGCTCAAGAGCTGCACGGTACGGCGAACTAATATCAGAGATTTGAACCCGACCTTTTGTGCCGTAAAGCAATGATATATTTAGGTAATATGGCTCGATGCTTTTTATTCGCCCCAAATAGAGTTGCTCGGATGACATTGAATCGCAACTATTGAAATAGGTAACACGGTGAACCCAACAAAGATAAAGTACTGAGCCACGACCTTTGCATTAACCAACCAATGGAGTACAAGCAATAAAATGCATGGCCTAGTAGCGCTTTGATGCCTAATGGAAGTGATTGCCTAACCTTATAATGTTGAGAGTGAACCAGTCTCCTAGAGAATATTTAGGGCGCACTACACACTATTGTGTCTCGTAAAAGAAAGTTCGAAATTAATCCGAACGCCGCGCTAGTGGAGTCCAAGAATACTTTCTAGGACTAGCAAGGATACTCTAGGTGTAGTTCCTCTCATTCTGATTGCATCTGAATGGAACTGCTCGATGAAAAGTCGAATTATCTACCTAAGGGGCTGAGCTGAAGGACGAAGGGATTGGGTAGAAAGACGTTGCATGTGTCCCCGGTGCATAAAACCAAAAGCTATCTGGCGCCTAGTTTAACTAAACTTTAACTGTAGCATCCCGAGACTTCCAATAGGGTAGTAGAAAGCATAAGTGAGAATGAATACATGCATTTGGAAGACAACAGGGCAAGTGCGGCCTGAGCATGGCCTGAAGACCAGCCCACGTGCACATAAGCCGGACATTAACAACAACCGAAACAGTTTATGCAAGATTTTAAACCCTGGAACCCGAACGTGTGCAAAAGCCATATCAAAGCTTTTTAAAAAGTATTCATCTTTCAGTTCTTTATTACAGTAATGGATATTAAACTCCACTTGCAGCGCACTGTAATGTCCACCAGGCAGAATTCACATTAATTAATGCAGACTGAATGCATATATTCTCGGAGCACAGGAATAATTCGGGACTTAGCTTAGCTCGAAGACTAGCTTACGAGTACCAGAGCAAGCCAAATACCAACGTGCTTCAAGATGCTTAGAAAAGCACTAAATATGGGTGCAGCCTTGTTTTCGCCATCGCCTACGTACTTTTTAGATGCTCCCTCGAGGAGGTCGCTTGCCTTCACAGTTTTAATTGGGTACCCGAATCGGATAATGGGTTGTAACGCTGGAGCTTTAATGGGTGCTGCATATACCTATACCTAAATATGGTTAATTCGTACATTAATTACGGCACATGACTTAAGATTCCACCTCTGTCTTAAAAGGCGCATTTAAGCTACAGCTTCATATGCATTAAGAGGAAATAATGACATTATGCCGACTTTCTTTGACCTTACCGCAAAGGGCCAGGATTTTAATTAGGTAGTAGGTGCCAGGCAGGGCTGCATGCTTTTATTTTTAGGCAAAGTAAAGAGGTAATACTTTGGCAAAGCCCGAATGGCATTGTCACTTTCCTCTTTACTAGTGCTGTGCTGGCGGGTTCTTTGTAGACATTTTGAGCCAGCGATTATAAACGCATTCGGTGCTGCAAGGAAGCACTCCGAGCCAGCTGCGCTAGCCAAAATCTATAAAAGGTTTAAGGGAATTAGCTTAATTCTCTCGGAAGCTTCTACTGAGTCTGCAGTTCGAGATGGAACTTCTGTTGACCTTTAGTTGCGTTCAGATAAAGACATTGCAACACATGTCTAAGGCAGGTGTTCGGCATCATAATCAGGATCAAACATAGTCCCATATGGAAGGGTTATGATTGTAATACCATCATAGACACTTAGACGCGGAGGTGGTGAGATTGAACTTGAATTTTGAACATTGCTGTTGGATCTTGGATGTGTCGTTTCAGTTGTTATGGCTATCTGATGTATGGGGCGAATAACAAACTCATACCTTGTAAAGAGAGAGAAATCTCTCTTGCCCGATATATGTGCTCTTCATTCGCATTGCTGAATTTGATCTTCGGACAGAATCCCTGCATAGATCGACTTTGCTTTCCGCCACTACAGGTGCTATATTCCAGGCCTTCCCATCAAGTAGGCTTTGGTGTCTGGGGTTGATACTAAGAAAGAAGTTGGTCTGAAGATCATTCTGCGCAGCTAGGAGTGAGGCGAATGCCAAAGCGACCAATATTTATGCATTCGACCAAATGAATTCGATATTGTGCACACTATAGACACATAAGTCTTTTTACTAGATAGTCAAAGACATACCACGGCTGAATACACACGTTTGTGCTTAAAATAAAGAAATAGGGCGCTCTCCATCTCCCAAAATTTAGCTCTCCTTCCCCCAACAGAATAACTGGGCTGCAATGCATCGGTCATATCGAAGGTATAGGCTATAACTATATGCGTGCATTCAGAGTAAAAGAGTATAAAGATGGCTACGACATAACCTGAAAGCCAGCTCATTCGGTGGAAATACAATGGTTGCTAAGGTGAATGCCGTACATTCAAGCATTTTAATGAACAAGGTACGACAACCGAGATAAACATACTACCAAATGTAGTGTCCTAAACTTCCTTTCAAGCCGATGAAGGCATAGAAGTTGCGCAGCATGCATCCATTTTTCAGAAGGGCAGGAGATCGCATCTTGTGGTAGGGTCTAAACGCCAGCCTATCTGACGAAACGGACTGTTTAAGTGGTAGAAACCAGAACTCTTGCTCTAACCCCTTACAAATTACAATTCAAGGATTGTATTTTTCGCATATGGAGATCGTGCTTGATTCCCCATCGTCAGGTGGAGTGGCTTTTTGTCCATGCCCTACTACATGCTTAATTTCTGAGTTCGGCTCAACACTGTCCTTTTTTTAGCTTTAAATAAGCTTATATACATTGCCAGTAAATCGCAATTTCCTTTCAAATGAAGTAGTGGTTTTATACGATTATTGTAGGAGCCGCTAACTTTGGAGCCACCACCTGTGTTTTGACTGTACAAGAATTTAAATGAATTTATTCCTACAACATTTTAATAAGCCATCATGTGGCCAATATTAGGTTACTATGGCTTTTCAAGCGCTTGTGTCAAAGTACACGATATCACGTTATTTTTTGTGCAGTTCGGGAAATTATGCATGTTTATCGGTTCCTAAAATACCCTCTTGATAAATAATGCAAGCTGGCGTGTTACTCTTTTCAGCTAACTTTGATTCAGGAAATTTAGGGCAAGTGGAAAGCGTTCAGGAAAGCATTGAATTTACTGGGCCTCAATCTGGTAAAACTCAAACACCCAGTTGGGCTGATCGGGTGGTAGCAATAAACGGAGCCGACAAAAGACCTCTGCTTTGCAGTAAACCTGATTATCACGTTAAATGTTGGACCTATCTCGATGCACATGGCACGCCCTTTGAAAATGGAAATAAGTCATGGTTTCATTTCTCAGTTCGGAACTACGCACCTGGATCACTCATACGAATATCTATTATGAATGTCAACCATCAATCTAAGGTGTTCAATCAAGGTTACACTCCTGTTTTTAATGTCATGAACTCAGCCACCGATAACCCATGGTATGTCACCTAGGATACAAAATCGACCCCATTTCATGTAATTGTTCTTATTCACCCAAGTTTTTCGATACTTAGAATATCGTTTTCACAGGACACAGGTCAATTACTGCTCCGTTTATGTGACCATTTATTCAGATCCTAACGGACGCAGAGACTTCACGCTTTATCTTTTATTTTATTTTTATTACATTAGTTGGATGAGAATAACAGAAGAGCCAGTCTTCGAAGCCATAGATGGACAGTTTGCGGTGACTTTTGCTCATCGTTTTACGCAGCAATCGGGAAGTGTCACTTATTTTGCCTTCAGCTACCCATGGACCTATCTTGACACCCAGCTACAATTAAGACGCCTCGAAGACATATTCAGTTCTGCCTCTCCAAATTTAAAAAACATTCAAGTGACACAAGATCCGACTAAGGACACCCCATCTATCTACCTTCATCGCGAACTCCTTTGCTACAGCCTCTGTGGTCGGAGGATAGATCTTCTAACCATTTCTGATAATACGAATAAACTTCCCGATCTAGAAGACCGGTTTGATCCCCTTCTCTTTCCTGAGAAATCTACCCCCCGCCCGCACAAATTTTCTAAAAAGAAGGTAATTATTATGTAAACCGCAGAACCGACCTTCAAAGTGGCCGAAGTTTAAAACGAATGATCAAGCTCTTCATAAATTTTGTCTGATAATAGAACTAGTGTTGCACTTTTAAGTGGCCATCCGAGACTTGTAAGGAAAAGAATCCTGGCCTCTCCAACTGTATAACATTGACGACTTATGCTTCGCATTAACATGACAAACTTAACTTTAATATCCTCTTGTTCTAAATGTGTTGTTAGCATTTAATTAGGTAGTTAGAAGGAGACTTTTAAGTAGGAGTCGCCTTTTCTATGCATCGAACTCTAAATTATTTACTCAACATTAATTGTAATTAAATAAGATATTCATTAAAATGCTTGCTTGTCTATTGAACCTGCAATTATTGTATTTTATCATTTCGCTTTCGAAACTGGCCATTTGAGCAACCTTAAATTGACGGAAATATCTGATAATAATGTTGCATGACAACTTACTGTTTAACTTTATTAAGCCCTATGCAAGTGCAAAATTGTTACTTGAAGTCAGTGACTCAATTAAGATAGTTGAAGATATGGCCAATGAATTCGATTTCCAACCCGTAGGTTTTCCTGATCACCGCCCGCGTACACCCAGGAGAAACACCAGGAAGTCACATGTTCAACGGAGTGCTCGAATTCCTTCTGCGCGAGAAGGACGAGCGTGCGATCCAGCTGCGTCGAATCTACGTCTTTAAATTGATTCCCATGCTTAATCCCGACGGCGTGGCAATGGGTCATCACAGGACTGACTCTCGTGGCGCAAACCTTAATCGTTTCTACCTTCAACCCAATTTCCTTCTTTACCCTTCGGTCTATGCTGTGAAGGCACTGGCTACCTACCACCACCTTTGCTACGCCAGTGTCGCTCGCTATCCTGGTCGTCTGCCCTCTTGGCAATTCGAGCGCTTTGTAGACCTCGCAGCTCGCTATCGCTCCTTTGTCGATTCCGTCGATGTTGCTCCTTACACCGGTAATCTCGTCCGTCCACCTTTTGTACTAAAGAGAAAGGGGTCTCTGAATACTCCTATGGTACTAGTAAAGGAGAAGACCCTCGACGTGGCCAAAGAATTGACGCGTGCATTGAGGATGGCGTTGGAAGGAAAACGACCAGTCGCATTTGAGTGCTTAAAGTCCAAAAATTCTTGCAAGCAGCAGCGCAATTCCTGCCATCATCTGTTAACTTCGGCGGCAAGTCTAGATTAACTATTAAATATTTGCCGTGTGAATTGGACCTTCGTTTTTTTAAACCGGCCAAACCTGCTATTTAGCAGTACCTTTAGCATGTATATGATCAAATAAGTACTGGGTAGGACCATCCTCATGGAAGACTTCTCCATAAGTCGGTCCCACATTAGCCCTTAAAATGGGAAGCCTGTCTAACACTTAATTATGCATGTGTTCTCAATGATTGCAAGATCTTTTGACTATAGGCGTGGCCCCGAGGTTAGACCGCTTACCAAGGGTAGAGTGACGAGGCCTTAGGGTGATCTGTCTTCAAAGTCAAGAATTTGGTAATGAATTAAACCAATACAAGTCGTTTGCCCCTCCAAAATGCTGCAATAACATGGAACCAAAGTCCCTACATTTCATTTGAAGTTCTACAGAGATAAGACAATTTTTTAATTGATTACCATTATGGTCAAAATATTTTGCCCCTGTACTAAATAAGTAATGGTCGCTTATTAATGCCATAGATGAAATTATTAGACTTACTCCAGTGTAAACTACTACAATGAATGGACTTGTCAAACCTGTTAGTACTTGCTAATTTTTAGTTATATGCGAGTAAATCTCCACTCTAACGCGTAGGATACTGAAATCTCCCAGCAGAATGAGGAAGTCGAAGACGCTGAAACATCCTCGATTCTGATGATGGCCGCCAAAGAGTGCGTCAGAAAGGTGGAAGATCGGAAAGAGTCTTCTCCAGACACGTGGTGTGCAAGTGACAGTTCTAAGCGTTGTCAACCTATGCTTCACGTCCAGGCTATTATTCGACGAGGGAAGGGTTCACCCGAGTCAAGTGACAAAAGGAGGTGTGACGTCATTAAAGAGGTGTCAAGAAGTGTACAGGAGTATCACCAAGTCTCTAATCAACTGTACGTCCTCACCTTATCACTCTACCTCTCCTCTGCACTGAACTTTGTATTACAAATATCAAGCTTTCATGCGATTGGCGTACAATCTCCTCGGACGTGCTGCAACTTTGCGACTCCTGTAATTTCCATTATTTGGAATTCATGCGCATCGTCGTTATTACACCTTCTGAAGATTTGTTGGGTTCATTGAATGGACACGATTGAAGGTTTACGACCTGTCTCACACTTAACTATGAATTCCTCCTTTAAAAGTAGTGGTCGGGACAAGCCAAATGTCTGCTGGTGATGCGACGAATGAGTGACCTCTAAAATAACACCTTTTGTGTATTTAACCTTTCGTTTTGGTGTTACTCATATCTTGCACCTACTGACAATCTACTGTCATAAGTTGAGCAAATCGTCCACTAGTTATTTGCTTCCCAAAGCATTGAAAATATCACTTTAAGTTTCATGCAGGCTCATTGCAACGTTAACACAGGCAAAACGCTGGAAGAAGCTAAGGTGGAAGCATAAGTTACATGCAGTTAATATACTTAACTTTTACTAGGTCAAAAGATTCCCAATCAGGAATGGAGAATCGTCATTCCGCTGACGTAGGTTGTCTTCCACGACCTGTGCAACTGGCTGAATGCCATAGGGAGTCGCATTCTTCGTCCAACCCTCAGAAGGAGAAGTCGTCAAATCCTACCAACAGCACTGATTACGAAAATGGTAGTTGATGGGCTATGAACTAAAACGTTGCTTCAGTAGTGGGATATATTAAAAGCAGGAATATATCAACCATGTTGGGAGTGTTGTTGCATTATCTTCCACCCCATCGGACTTTAGAGTGCCCGAATGGATTGCTATCATCTCAATAAGTTCGATGTCTGACTTATTCGCTTAACAGTTGGAAGAGTTAGAGTTAACACTTCACTGGTGCAAGACCCTCTCTCACCTCAAAGCTCATAATTGCGGTGTCCCATTCGTAATCCGATTGGAATGCGGAAGATACATATCATCTGCAGAATAAACAATCGAACTAGATTTTGTCTTACATGCTGGTAAGAATGTGGGTTTTAAAATTCGATATTCTTCCTGAGTAAAGTGCGACACTTGAAGGATAACGGATGGTGGAAAATGGTTGCAAAACTAGTAAAACTTCACACTACACTGTACACGTTGCAATTATTTTAACGTTTATTAGTGCTTTTTAAATTTTCAACACTGTTTCTGTTAATGTCATTGGAGTTGGACGACTGATGGACATTAGAAATGTAGTTCAGTAGCTTGCATCGCTTCCATCTCCCTTCAACTCAGGTCTCAGGGAGGGGATCCATCCATCGTATAGAAACACTACAAACTATTGCAATATATCAGTGGTATTTTACTTACTTTCATCTTTATAGACATAATTTTTTGATGGGCTCAGATAGTATCGTTGTAGTCCTCCCTCTTCTTTTCTTAGAGGTTGACAACCGAATACGCAAGCTTGACCGAGCGTACATAAACATGGTGGCGCGGAACTTGCAGCGGGATGGGCAGGATGCGGAGGTGAAGGAGGCCTTCCTGGAATACTGCACTGGCGCGCATCTCACCCATCCAAGCCTTCTCAGCATCGGGCCAGAGGAAAGTGGTGTTAAGTGCTACATCGATCTCCATGGACATTGCACCAAACGCGGCTGCTTCTGCTACGGCAACCATCTTAAGGACACCCGACAAATGGTGCATAAGTTCTGCTGATTACTTCTTTTTTTCAAATATTTCATGAGTCAGTAAAAGTGAAACAAATTCGCCTCATTGAGGTAGCAAGAAGACTTTGCTGTTCTATTTCTTACTCGGCTAAAGTGATTGCGAATTTTTCTTCTTAAAGTTCCATGATAATCTAGTCGCTGCCTGCTGTGCATCCTTATATTCTTCAAAACCACTTGCTACTTCAAAATAACTACGAGCCAGCATCTCACTCCACTTCCTCGTCGCATTTTGCTAATGTTTTGTTGTGTTCAGGCCGACATCGTGTTGTACGCACGTCTGGTGGCGGCCAATTCAGCTTTCTTTGACTTCAGTGCATGCAACTTCTCCCTACGAAATATGTACTTACGCGACAAGGTGAATGATACCACCAAGGAGGGCTCGGGTCGAGTAGGTATCTGGAAGCACACCGGTATCACGCACTGCTACACCGTTGAGGCTAACTACACCGCTAGTAAGCAAGCTTCATGTTTTCCCATCCGACGTTCGCATAGGCCATCCCAATACATCGATTCCCGTTGGTGCATGATATGTCACACATGCCATCCTATCAAAATGAAAGAGACATATGATTCACTCCAACAGGTCGTGTTCTGAACATCCTTTCTGCCACCGTATCAGATGGTCGCTGCGCCACACCGCCGGGTACCTTGTGGGGCCCTATGCGAGGAAACACGGTGGTCCCGAAACCTCCCCCAGATGGCGTTGCCACTGCCTCCTCCTTCTTCATCTACCCAGCCGCCACCATCACAACCACTGACGCTTTCAGCGGCTACGCGACGCGTTTGGCTAAGCTCACAGAACATGGTAGTTACGTGATATCGCACGAAGAGCGCTACACCCCTGCACACTTCCAAGAGATGGGCCGAGGCCTGTTAATAGCTGCACTGGATATGTGGAGTGTAAACCCGTGGTCGCGGCTAGCTACCAGTGCCTGTGCTGATATGATTCGGTTCCGACCAGGCACTTACTGCAACCTGAAGTCATTGCTTAACAACACTTCTCGGTTCGGTAAACTGGGGCCCGTGCGTAGCGGTGGTCATGTTCCAGCTAGGCTAAGGCAAGCGGAACTAGCTAACATGAAGGTAAAGAAGAAAAGGCCCTTTAAGGGAAGAGAGTTTGTTTTACAATACTAGAGGCACTCACATTGCCGACTCATAAATGCAGAAGAATGCCAACTTACATCTATAATGCAAAGTGAGCGCTGTAACCTCGTAGCTAACTTAACAACTTCCCTAAATAGTTAATTATGACTTTCTAGTCAACTAGGCATTCTGAACAGCGAGGTCAAGCTAGCCCATTCCACTTTTGTGTGGACAACCACATAATATCCAAAACGCCTCATTAAAATTAGCTAACAATCGTGGCTCTTTTGGATTTAATTTGCGTTCCGAGTTAGCTGGTTTCTGAATATTTCGACCTTGACCGCAGGTTCTGCGCAACTGGGCAAAAAATTTTGTGGGCAGCACCACGACCAATGAGAGTCCTGAGACGTTAAAGCTGAGGGAGACAAACCTGTCGTCACCTTGTACGCACCTCGTTTCCCAGGTCTCAGCTCACGTCCCAATCACCGCTGCAAGCACTACTGCAATCGCCCGACGTCGACGCGAGAATCAAGCCTACCGCCAGCGCCTCCCTGCATGTGCTTCTGCAGAAGTCTCTGTTTCTGGAGTTGTGGAGAATCAATCAACGGTAACAGCAGTGGCAATGTCGAAAAATGAGCTTTGGAATGTGACTTCGTCCGAGTTAACTGGTTCATATGTGCCCATGGAGAGGCGTGTTTGCCCCATTGGTGAGGGGTGAGTAAGGACTCGCCTTCGCCTCCTCTCATCTCTCCTTAGCCTGACTGAGAAGTAACACGGTATTTAGCAATGACTTATAGCGAGGTGGACAATAGGATCGCACATAACCTTTTCCAAAGGCTTAATGCTTTAGCATTAATATATCTAGGAAATTTACTTATGAAAATTTTCTACAGTATTTCGACTTGATTAATACTTACTTGCTGTCTTTTTTGTGGCAGCAATGCAAATAGACCGCTGGCGTCCCTTGAAAAGCATGAAAGAACAAAACAACCTCCTCCTCCTTCGTCCATGTCACCACCTCAACCAGCAGATCGATGTGCAGCAATGATCAAAAGCATCAGAAAACAGCAGGTTCCCATTCCTCATTCAAAGCAAAAAACCAAGTCAATTGAATTAGTCTTCTCTGTCAAGAGCAAAATCAGCTCAACCGGCACCACCTGCTCGATTCCCGTTGCTCGTCTGCGGAATGGAAAACGTGCGACTAAACGGGATCCAGTTGCAAGAATGGGAAGAGCGCTCTCTCGAAGTGTGAGTGGACTTATCCACTATCGCATTTTTAAATGTGCGCGGACTCATATTAACTCTGCCAGGCTTTTTCTCCTTCGTTCATTGAATTTGATATACAATCAATTTTTTCATAGGAACGGACGTAGTTAAAACATTAGGAAGATGGTGTAGGATTCCGGTATTTTTTGTTTTAAAAATGCATGTCAGTGACATTATGTGTACCCCGTAGAACTCCAACGAACACAAACCACGGCCTATGAAGCATATTCGCAAGCGGGTGTCTCTCCCATCTCCCAATCACCTGATGTCAAGGATGACTCGCTCCATCTCCAGCACTGCTGCACCGCGACAGCCACCAAATGGCGTTGCTCTGTCGTCTGTCGATGCGCTTGAGGAACCCACGTTCGTTTCACCGCGACTGAGGTTACGCCATGCAAAGAGAGCGCGACGAACAAAAGTTCACGGGAAGGAGGTGCTGCCGCAGTTGGTCGACTTTGTCTCTCCCGCAGTACACCTAAAGGAGGTTCTTGCTGCCAGTGGGAAATAGGGTTGCGCATGACCTTCAATGACCCAATAATTACACTTTAATTTTTTTGCTTGAACTTGCTTTGAGAAGTGTGCTTACATTATTTTGCTGCTAGATGGAAAATTGTTCCCTCTCCCAAAACAGTGTGTGAAATCAGACAATACAATGAAGTGCTTGTTGTAAGATAATCTGTCTCAAAGAGCTGGTGTGACAGCTATTTTCCAACTGGAATTTAGCTCACACTATTGAGCATAATGCATTTACTGAGAGGTTGAATCCCAGTTCATTTCATTCATAACTGTTGATGTCAATTGCTTTGATCGCATCTTTCGTTTGTGTTGTCACCTTCAAAAGGACAGACGTATTATTAACCTTCATAATTTGTTGAAAAATGACCGATCTCGGAAATCTTAACTCATAGCTCACCGAAATTTGTCATGGATTTTGCTTTATAACGACTACTGTGGCACAAACTTAATGGTTTATCTGTGATCGCCGATTTTGGGACATCAAATACCCTAAAATACCACTTAGAGTTCGACGTTAGTGTACAGGAGCAGGCTAACTGTCCTCCCTGCATCTTGGACGTGTCACTGGGTCGTGGAGATCGGAGCAAGAAGGCACTGTTACAATAGTTAACTCCTATGTTTCCAAAGAGACCAAGCCTTAACATTGATGTGCAGCTTCTGCCTTATAGAAATGAAGTAAGCATAATGCAGGTACAACATCAGGCAGAAGGCAATCGGTGAAAGGAGCCTTGTCATCTACACAGGAAAAGAAATTCAAGTTAGTATTTTGCCAATTCGGGCCCTTTTGCTCAATCCAGCTTTTAGACTTGTTACGGTGGGTAAAAAGCTCGACATAGAAGCCCCTCTCCAGTTCCTATAGAATATCCAATCAAGCCATCTCTTCTTGAGGCAAAATGGCTAGCCTTCCCTTCAGTTGTTAGGACCCACTAAGCTGGTGAAGAAGTCTGCATCTACTGTAGCGTCAACTTTTCTCTCTTGCGCACTGAAGCGGCGCATGCATTACCGTAAGACTGGCCCTCCGCATCCGTGTTGCGAATCTTTGCCGATACTACATTTGCCACCATCCTTCTTCAAGATGTTCTCGACGAAAGCACCCCACAGCTGCGCGTGCACGGGTGACTGGGGCACCGCCCAGGACCTTAATGTGTCAGCGATGCTAAAATCTTTATGCGTGACGACCCACATAAACATTTTTAAATAAAGCGAATGACTTAACGAGTATGAAAAAACATTGCGTTCGCAGCTCCGTCAAACTGCAAAGCTACTTACTGCAGTAGACTAGTCTAACAAGACGGTCACTCACAATCCTTCGAAAGTATGTACCTCAATCCTCCATCGACTCCTTTTACTAATGCGACTGTCAAATTTCACCTGACTTTAACTCCTCCTCTTAGAAGAGCTTATTCTCATTCACAATTCAACATTCGACAGAAGACCTGTTCTTGGTAAAACCACGCCGAATTTTAATGATTTGTGAATCTATCTACCGAATTCTTCAAGCAAAGGAAGCACTAATTGAATACCTTCGTCGCCCGGGTAATGATCCAATGGTCTCAGCTATTAAGCAATATGACTCCCTGCTAAGAGTTTCAGACATTAACGGAGCAGTAAACAACACTAATGTCAGTACTACAGTGCGTCAAACCCACTTATGGTCAAGCCATACAGTATGCAGTGAAAGGTAATTGGTAAACACGTAAACTACAAAAACATTACTTAATAACTCAGTACTGAGTAAATGCCCAACACTGATGCTAGTGGACGTTCAAATTCGATGTTCAGACGCCACTCCTGCAATTCACAGCACAATATCACAGAGATCCAGCAAAAGTAAACACAAATAGCAACTCAATTTAATAACAATCCGTAAAAAAATAGGTGGTGTTATCTATAAAAAAAGCTATTTTAGTTTGTTTTTAAGATAACACAGGACGCGGTTGGCCATTTCCCGATCCGTTCCACCAAGCCACTCTACGCTTATGATGAGCCGGTCAACTACCTTATCGACTTTTTCATCACCAGCCGGCTCCATAATTTCCTCAATAGCACTACTATCACTATCATCGCCGCCTGCATCATATTCTTCGTCATCATCACTACCACCTCCGTAACCTTTCAACTGGGACTCCACATAGAAATTAGCCCTGAGAATCAACTCCGATTCGTTGAAATCTGAGTTTGAGAGATCACGCGAGAGCTCCTCTATCCACGCTGTCCCCTCATCGCAAACTGCATCCAGTCGTCTCCGCTTCAAGATTTCAGTCGCGTCTATTTCCTTTGGAAAATTACGTTTCCTCCCTTCGCCTTGTGAGACCTCATTCGCCAATTGTTGATGCTGCTTCAAGTACATCATTGCCTCGCGCCGTTTGCGACGTGCATGAGTCCACGTGTCTTCACTAGCTTCTGCATAGAGGTGATAACCCCCGAGAATTCGTTTGTTTCTTTGCATCAAAACACGCATCTAGAGAACATATTGCCAGAATCAAAATAAATACAGGAAGAGGAAAAGGCCTCAACAAAATAAGGACTGAATGATGTAGGAATTCGAGCCTAGCATTGCTTGGCCGACACCCAAGTTTCTTCCCGTAAGCGCTGGATGCAGCACATGGCAAGTGCCGGCAAGCATGAAGCACGCAGTTACAACTTTTCGCTTCCGACCATTACAACTCTGTGCCACATATTATGTATGGCGCAAGTTTGGTACACCGAGTCATTGTGAGACTAAAGAGACCATGAGTGACGCCAACGATCAAATCAGCGCTGGATTTACAATGAGAGAGAACCCATACTAAAAAGAGCGATCAAAAAAACATCCTACACATCCAAGACACTCCAATTTCCCCAGCAAGTATGAATAAGATCGAATGGGGTTCATTACTCGAAGCACCCCTACGATTGGCATCAAATAGATTGATCAAGTTGTCTAAAAATCAACACACCTTAAGCTTCCTCAATTCTGCTGATAGCCACTCGAGAAGGCACCTTCTCGTGTACCTCGGTAGACAAGTGACACTTGAAGGGAGAACGTAAGTTAACGGTTGGCGATGAAATTTACGTTTTTGTCTAAAATCAGAAACCTAGACGGAGAGTTCATTAATTCTTTCGTAGAACAAAGGACAAAATACCGGAAAAACGAAATTTGGAATAAAGGTCCATGCAAAGCCCCACCGCATCACTCGCCCTTGACACATTTCATAAACGGAAGTTTGCATTATGTTCATCTCTTTCATGATGAGTCGAACGGCCGGTACGCTACGCTTTTTACCAAGCATCAATGTGAAGACACTAAGAAATGGGGAGAATTACTGAGACGTTACCGTACCCAACATTGGTCTTATAGACCAGGCTATCCTCCGCCAGACGCTTTGCAAAGCCAACCTCACCACCCACAGTTTGGCTTTCCTGTCGAGCGGCCGATGATGCCGATTTGGGCGGAGCTCGTGAAAGTGATCGCGTGGATTCTGCACCAATTGAATCAGCGACGTCTTCGAAAAATGGAGGGTTTGCCATGACCACATCCACTTTTATTTGGGCCACATCAATACCCAAAGAAGCAGAATACCCCTCAAAAACTTGCTTCAACGGACTTGATGTATCATCAGTAACGCGAACAACTAAATGGAAGTAATGTTCAAAGGGGAATAAGTACGGGTTATTTTACTGTCCAATCCATTCCTCTGAATGGTCTCCAATGAGTGGTTATAATTTCTCGTATCGCATTCAGAACCGATAAAATTCCATCCATTCTTCTTCACCCCGATGACAGGATATATACAGCATGAGCCAACACCAATGTCCAATATGACCGGTGGTGAATTTCTGATCTGCATCGCTAAGGAACATTATGGGATGATTATCTTTACAAGCCAAAATATCTTCGATCCAAAGAACATAATTCAGACGCAACGGAATAGTTGGAATGAGGCGGTCGACTGGAACTTCCACGTCCAAACCAAAGTCCTCTAAGAGCAGGGCTCGAGCAAGCGCAGCAAGAAACTTTGGTTGCTTGAACTCTGGACATATCTTGCCATTATCATCCTTTACGATTACATCAGCAAAAAATGGATACTTCTCAGCTAAAATTTTAAATGACGGCTTTTTGGTTTTGTATGGATTCCGGCTATGCATATAGAGATTAAGCGCCATCAGCCAGACAAAGTGGAAACACTTATGGAAAATTAAAGTTCTTTCCTACCGAGTTAACAAATTTAAACAGTGGTACTTCTCGTTAAGTTTAAATCATATATAGAAAATTCAATACACAACTATAAATTGTTATTATAAATTAAAAAGGTATTAGGTTATTACATTGCAGTTGCACTTAACATAAGTATCGATCTTACGTTCAATCCTCCTGTTGAGATACTGGTAGCTGACCTTTCTCCATTTAAGCTTACTTTTAAACTTACTGCTGGAACTTACTATCCTCATCACTTTGAACAATGTCGCGATGCTTTAGCATTTTTCAGTGAGCCATACCTCCCTGCTTTTAGTGATACTAGTCGTCCCGGCAAATAGACTTGACTCGCTTACGTAGATGTACATCAGCTCATTAATCCAACTCATTTATAATTTCTGTCTAAATTACGAATATGACCTCCTGCTGTAAGCATTTCACCTACACTTTCCAACCCGTGAGTTCAGAACCCTGACCCCTACCCGATGCATGTAGTCGCACTACACATATTTGCGTCTCACTACTAGCCGTTGTTAACACTACCGTTAGTGCGTCATTTTAGATTGCATGTTTTGAACGCGAGGACTTGATTGGAGCGATGAATCAGTGCCGCGGAATCGCCTGCAAGACCGAGTCTAATAGCCCCGCTTCTGACTTGGAACGTACCCAATCATCCCGCCAGGTATCCTTTCATGTGCATCTGCAAGCTCTAACCAGCTAAACGATTGCCTTCGCTCTACCCAGCTTCCGAATCTGCGGTCGTAATCAGACCAATACCACAGCACAGTATTTAAGTTAAGGGAAGTGCCCGCTCATGCCCAGGCGACAAGAGCGTAAAACATCAACGATGAACAATTCTGCCCCTTCTTCAGTTTAAGCCATATATTAAGCACCCCAATTGTTCACAAAATCGACAAGTTTTCATAGAACATCCACAAGTGCATACATTCGCACACGCGATGACTTCAACATTTGCGATGTTGCTGAATTCGGAGCTGCGTATTCAGAAACTGCGCGTGATATACAAAACCAACCCACTGACACTATCAAGCCTTGCACAAACCTCGGTTTGACCCAACTGAAGCAAGGAGATGGGACCAATTGCAGTGGCTGAAACTTAAACCACCTTTAACATGAAAGTATCTGTAAACAGGTTGTGACACCCCTCCAAAAAAGGCATGAGAGATGAACCGTTTACTGGTGCATTAGTAGATGGAAGAAGAATAGAAATTACAATTGGGATTTGGAACATGAACAAGCAGCCAAGTAGGCCGATTCATGTATCAGGAGAGCGGAGGCAGTTGTACATCTGCCAAACCAAGTGATGGATATGACTAAGTGTAGGCAGTGTTTGCTGTGCACAGAAATGACACGCACGCACGTGGTTCTTAAATGGGAATGTTACTCGATCCGGTGAATGCCTGTACTTGAGTGTGGATGCACATAACCCCAGCAAGGGTACATGCGGCAATGCCAGTGGTTGTGGTCGTGCATCGATTAATTATTCTGAATGTCAGAGAGCAACCACGGACATTATATCAATACGCGACCTGAATCGCACATACATACACACAAGCACACACATTCGCACACATAGAGACAAAGGAGAGGAAAAAGGAAACAAATAATCACAGAATGTTCGGCAACAGAGCATGTAAGTGTTCGCATATATATCTATTTACATTGGTGGAGGAGAAGGATTGGAAAGGGATAGGAGCAATATCATCAATAAATCAATTTTTACACACGTACAGAGACCACAGAGAGAATGACGCGTGGAAGGCCTAGAGGTAGCGAGGTCGATTAGTATTATTACTGTTGCTGCTGGTGTTACCACTTCCACTACTGGCCGCCGCTGCAGCCGCAGCCATAAATTGAGCGGCAAGTTGTTCTAGCGAGCGATTCCCACTTACACCTATGTCGCCTGAAACTGCATCAGTGAGAGGCAACGCTGAAGAAACTCGAGAGGAAGAGGCAGCTGCGGCAGCTGCGGCAGCAGACGACGAAGCAGCAGCAGCAGTGATGAACTGAGCTGCAGCTGCAGCGGAGAGGTTGATGTGTTGCTGCAAGAGGATGAGGTTACGATAAGCCTCAGCGGTCACCAATTGCTGTTGTTGCTGTTGCTGTTGCCGCAGATGATGATGACCGTGAAGGTGGTGAGTAGGGACTGAAAACAGCGCCGATTGATGCTGAGCATGATTTCTGTTGAAAAGTAGAGCGGCAGCAGCAGCTGCTGCGGCTGCACCCTCAGGGGTGAAGATAGCTGTGGAACAGCAAGCAGATGCATTTGAAGAGGTGGGATGAGCCGAGTGCGCCTGCTGCTGTGGCTGAGCGTAGCAGTGACTTAGGAGCGGAGCCTGAGGTTGAGCAAAACACGCACTATCGTCGCACTCCGCCTTTTTCATTGGCTGCACGCGACCTACGGGAACTGAACACAGCAAACAACCAAGTGCATGTGCGCTTTTCCAACTTTGAATCTAGCAATCACGTCAGTACATAATCCACAGCTTTCAAAAGTAACACATGCTTGTAGGACCAGCAAAACTAGAGACGGGCTGTAAAGCATTAGCTAACCATTAGGAAAAAATCCTGTAAGTAGATACCCGGTCAAGCAAAGCTACATACCGTTTGGTGGAAGAGAAGAGAAATTTGCAAAATTGCGCTTACTTTTCTTATCAGGACGGTGAATCAGTGAGGTAGGTTGGTCGGTGGCTGCAGTGTTGTGAAAGGGCCTGGGCAGTAAATAAGTGAACAGATAATATCCATCATAAAGTCAAGCAGATTATTTTAAAAGATCTGGCGATGGTGACAGAAGAGTCATTAGACATGCGTTGGGGCATGCAATCAAAGAACTGTCATGGCGCAAGCGT